TCTGATGATCTCCGTGGGAGCCAGCCTGGCCCGACCTGCCTATTCTCCCAACACGAAAGGAGCCGAGGTACGTTGCTATGCTCTGCTTTTCTCACTGGCCTGAGAATGAAACAGCAGCAATTTAGAATTAATTCCGCAGATGAACATTTTTCCTTTTCCCATATTGGGTCACTTGGCAATCAAGCTACTCCCCGCTAACCCCCCACCTTTGTTGCTCTTTTCTTCCACTTGAATAGGGAAGTTGAAGAAAATGCTTAGTTCTCACTCCTATGCAGGGTAAGTGGAAAATGAACAGAGTCCAGGTTCCTCAGCTGGAACCTAAGACCTTGTTGCATCTGCTCTTGCCAATCTGCATAGTCACAGCTCCCCCACTTCCCCACTAACAGGAACCCCAACAGCCATGCACTTTCACGCCTCTAGATCTTTCCAGTGCACTGTTCCCTCCAGCTGGAGTGTCTCTTGCTCCTGGACTGCCTAGCAAGCTCCTATTTATCCTTCAAAACCCAGTCCAAGTATCATCTTAGGGGACAAGCTCTCCTTGATTCCCTCCAGACAGATTTAATCCTTCTCCTTTTTTCCAGATTTAACCTTCTATTTTTATGCCGGGACGTTCTTTTCTTGTGATTCGATCACACTGGATTCAGAAGGGACTTCCATAGCCTTAGCACATAAAAGTACTTAGCACATAAAAGTATCCAATCAATGTTAGCTTATTTATCTCTTCTATGAAGCTGGGCATGGCTTGAGAATAAGTATCACAACTTGCTTTCATAGAAATCTTTCACTTTATACATAGCATGGCCTGCTTTCTGCTTAGGCCGAAAGCATTCACTGTGTTCTTAATTTTCTCAATTTCCCACTTGAGGAATTCCTTCCTTCCACCTCAGGAAGGTCCCCTTAAATAAACATGAAACACCCACATCAGTTATCAACCCAGCCGGGAACCCAGAGCTCCCTTTGCGTCTCACCCTTGGACTTGTGTCATGGCTCTTCCAGGGGCAGGGACCATAATCCTTACAGCCCCCAGTGACCCCCCAGGTCTATCAACACATGGATGGGACCAGACTGTGCCCAGCACGCAGGTGTCACTCCACCTACACTTGTGGGATGGATGTTGATTGAGTCACCATGTGACCCTACCCTGCAGATCTGGGGGTGCAACCTCTGTTGGGGCAGACTGGAGTCTTCCGCCACACATACATGGATTTCTGGGTAGTCTTCCCTGCTTTTAGGAGACCTGAACTCCAACCCTTGGCACCATAACTGAGAAGTGTGGCAGAAGGCCCAGGGCAGTGCCATTCAGCTTCTGTGCCGTAAGTGCTCAGCGTTGGGAAGAGAACAGGCCTTGGCCCTAATCTCAGTTCTGAGCCTGTAGTAAAATCACTTCACCTTTCTGGACCCTGTAGGAAGGGAATTAGAGGATTTCCAAGGGTCCAGCAGAGTGGTGAGCTGGGTAGCCTTGCAAGTCAGTAAATGAGGACCCTATCCCCTCACCTCTCATAGAGGTGAAGCTCCTTGGGGTGGGGACGGCGGCCGTGGCTTGGGGGCAGACCTGATGCAGATCTAACTCACAGACCAGGAGGGCACAGTAGTTGGGAGCTGTGAGCCTGGAACCAGCTCACTTGGGCGCCCATCTCAGCTCGTGTTCTTGGGGAGACAGATGACCTCTCTGTCCCTCAGCTCCTCCACCTGTACTGTGCTGATAGTAATAATTGCATCAGCCTCACAGGGCTTTATAAGTCAGAGTGCTTGGTGCAGGGTGTGCCCTCGTGAAACCCAAACATGAGCCAGCTGTGTACTGAAGGTGAGTGGAAGATCTGGGTGGAGCTGACGTGGTCATCTCACTGCTGCCCACCACTGGCTCGGCCACAGTGACTTGGGTTTGGTAAGGACTCCAATCTCTGGGCGCCATTCCTGGCTGCCTTTCACCCCAACCAACTCCTGGCCTGGAAGCAAGGACAACCTGGTTACAGAAAGTTGTCCAGTGGTGTAAGGTAGTAGGTAAGGCCCCAGCTTTGGAGTCAGGCCCAGCCCGGGTCTGAACGGCAGCTTTGCTGCTTCCTAGCTAGGCCACGGCCATCCCAGGGTCCTGCTAAGAACCCCAGTGCCTACCTTATAAGGTGGATTCCAGCAGCACAGGAAATAACACAAAGCACCCCCAGCTGGGGCCAGAGGAGCCACTGGGTGAATGGCCAGGCCTCGTGCTCTCTCTCGGGCTGGCTGCCTCCCTCCCAGCCCTGGCGCTGCTTACCAAGTTTAACAGTAACTGCCGCAGCTGTCCTTTCTGAAAATACATTCCCTGGCTGCTTTTGTTTTTTTCAATCCAAGTCTTCCCCAAAGCCTTAAGCATTCCTAAACCAAGGGTTTACAAAGACAAAAAGCCCAAGCTGACCTAGCCATGCTGCTAGTTGGCAAAAGTCCCAGAGGATCTTGCTCTGCCAGTCATTGAGCTTGACATTCAGTTCCCTCAGTCAAATTCACTCACATCCGACAAGATCAATGAGAGGAACAGGCAGTGATGATCAAAAGGGCTGACAAAGGCTCTTGGGGTAACTCTCCCAGCAGGATTTTGCGCCACACAAAAGTGCATGCAGGGGGTGTTCCATAAAAGCTCCTCCACGCAGGCACCCCTCATGCCCAGAGACACCAAAAACCAGTTCCCATGACAACGCTGCTGCGAATGTTATATATAAATGTGTATGTGTGCACAGCCACCCAGAGATGCACAGAAATAAACTCTTGGCACAATTTTTCCCATTCCAAACATGAAATAACCTGCAAGGATTGCTTGCTGGAAGAGAGAACAAAGAAGGTTTTGAACAAACACGCTTCCAAGGGGCTGGCTCGCAGCGAGGCACACCTGTTTTGATGTGGGTCTGTTTTGTTTCCTGCACCTGGACTAAAGTAGACACTCAATAAATAATTGTTGGCTGAATGAATAAATGATGGCAAACAGGAGAAAGGAGGGAAGAGTGTTGGGGTGGGAGAGGTAAAAGCAGCTGGAAGGGGGGCCTCTCCGGTGGCGCAGCGGTTGAGCGCTGGGTTGCGAAGCTGCCCGCGGCCTCTGCGGCGCCGGTTCGATCCCTGGCTGCTCCCCGGCCACCGGAGGAGGGTCCCACATGGTGCGCAGACCTCTCCTGCCGCCCGCTGCTCCCCTCAGCAGTGTACTTCGGTCCTTCTGCCTGCTCTGCTCCCCGCTCTGGCTCTGGTGAATTCTACCCTCCCGCGCTTCTGACTGTACTCAGTGCAGTGCATGTATAAACAAAACAAACAAACAAATATAATAAATAAATAAATAAAAAAACATGCCTCTATTAAAAAAAAAAAAAAAAGCAGCTGGAAGGGCTGAGCATTGGGTAGTGAATAGCCTATCAAATCCAAGCCCTCATTTTCAGTTGGAGAAACTGAGGCTCAGGTATGGGATGGAAACTTGCTGTAAACCACAAAAGGAATTATTATTATTTTTTTTAGAGGCATGTTTATTTATTTATTTGTTTGTTTGTTTGTTTGTTTATACAAGCACTGGGTACAGTCAGAAGCGCGGGAGGGTGAGAGAATTCACCAGAGCCAGAGTGGGGAGCAGAGCAGGCAGAAGGACCGGAGTACACTGCTGAGGGGAGCAGCGGGCGGCAGGAGAGGTCTGTGCGCCTTGTGGGACCCTCCTCTGGTGGCCGGGGAGCAGCCGGGGATCGAACTGGCGCCGCAGAGGCCGCGGGGGCAGCTTCGCAACCCAGCGCTCAACCGCTGCGCCACCAGGGAGGCCCCACAAAAGGAATTATTAACAGAGAACTACTCCCAGCGATTCATTAAATAAGCACATAATGAATGTGAGTCAAATTTCTGTCTGAATAATAAACATATGGAGCAATTATTACACGCCAGCCATGGTGCTAAATATTTACAGACGTTATCTCATAATTTGCAACCCTGCAAGAAATCCCTGTTGAAGAGCATTGAGGACGCTGAGAGGCGAGGTCCCTGGACCAAGGTGACACAGCTGATTTGTTGCTGGAATGGGGATTAAACCCAAATTGCCCACCAGGTCCTCTCTGAAATGGCCGGGTCTGGGCCACATGGTGGAGTAGGGGTGACTTGCCCATCAGGAAGCTGCAGAAAGTGGTCTAGAAATAACATTTTTGGGTTCCCAGTCCAGGATTGCTTCAGTTTATCCACTGCTTTTTAACAAAACCCAAAGGAACTGAAGGCTGACTCCTATCAGCCCACAGCAGCCGTTTGCTGGGTAAAGGGAGTTGACCCTTCAGCTGTCTTTGTGGGCCGGGGCAGTCCCAGAAGCCGACCCACTCTGAGTCCCAGCATCTCTTTAGGGTTTTCTGCCCTCTCATGGTCATATCTTAAAATAGCACGCAGCAGCTTGGTTGAAGCGTCTCCAATAGCAAACCCTTCTCCAGAATCAGGTTTTTGTTCTAGAAGGAAATGGAAATGGCACACAGGGTTCCCTGCTGCCCTGGATGTGCCATGTCCCTCCTTTTTTCCCCGTGTCTTGAGGTCTCCCCACTTTCACTCCAATCCATTCTCTGTACAGCCAAGATGGTGATCAATCCTTGGCTTATACTCCCCAATAACTTCCCAATAGTTTATCCTGGAGGATAAACCACATTTTTTAAAAATTAATTAATTAATTAATACAAGCACTGGGTACAGTCAGAAGCGCGGGAGGGTGACAGAATTCACCAGAGCCAGAGCGGGGAGCAGAGCAGGCAGTATGTCTCTTCCTCAGAGACATACTTTCACATTCCCCTGAATTTCCAGGGTTAGAATGTTCTTTACAATCGCAATTTCTTGTCTAGTAACTGCCTTTCTTGATAGCTAACAAGAACCCCGCTCAGTGAATGCTAATCCTCCGGTGTCTGCCACATAGTAGGGCTTCAAGATTTGTTGAATAAATGAGTAAAGGAATCAATAAAACAAAACCCTTGATAGTTACTAAGTATATGTCAGACACTATTCTTTTTGTTTTTTAAGATTTATTTTTATATATGCATACAAGAACTGGGGTACAGGCCAGAGGTTTGGGGTGTGTGAGGATTCTCCAGAGAGAGAGTGGGGAGCAGAACAGGAGGATCCACTGAAATACACTGCTGAGGGGAGCAGTGGGTGAGACAGGAGAGGTCTGCTGCGCCATGTGGGTGACCTCCCTGGCCAGGGATCAAACTCATGCTGCAGTGGCTGGCCATAGCTTGCTAGTGCTGAGTCTTTAACCCCTGCACCACTAGGGAGGGCCTAACAGTCCTTTTAAAACTGTCTGTCTCTTAGTGAGATCAAGCTCCTCCACACTGGGTTCCTCAGGAAGGGCAGGCACCTTTGTGGTCCCTGAGCTCTGGCACATTCAAATCCGTTTTTCTGTAGCTTTAAATATCTGAAGATTCCAAATAGTATCCCTGGCTTGGTTTCTTTTCCTTCCTCCAACACCCCCCACTGCAGTTTGGTATTCATTTTTCATTAGAATCTATTTTCTGTCAGTCACCTTTTAACTTAATTTTCATGTATGATTTGATTTTATTTTCTTCTCTGAGATGAAGTCTCAATTCATTTCTTCCTTTTGGGGGATCTTTTTCTGTTACTGGTTTTTTTTTTTCCTGATTTGAGTTTTTTCATATCCCCAAATGCTTATTGAGGATATTTCATTCAGTTTGGAGTATCGTGTTAGTTTTCTTCAGCTTGCCAGGTGATTTGGGGAAGAGAATTCTTATCAATTGAAATGCCCTGATTTGCATTTCCCTCTCTTCTCCCCCCCTCGCTCTTTTCTTTCTTTCTGGACAGGCATTTTTAATGATGTGCTGCCTTTTTCTAGTGCTGTATTCAGTCATGGCCGGGACTCCACTCACGAGCGCCCTCTGCTGCCTGTCCTGGTGCCCCATTCAACCTCCCTTCTGGTGTGGAGGGAGGGAGACCAGATTTTCTTATTTCTCATTTGTTTCTCATAATCTTTCATGTTCCCCCTTTTTTCCAGCTTCAGATATTTATTTATTTATTTTAAAGATTTATTTAGAGGTATACATATATACAAGAACTGGGGTACAGGCCAGAGGGGTGGGGTTGAGAGGATTCACCAGAGACGGAGTGGGGAGCAGATCGACTGAAATGCACTGCTGAGGGGAGCAATGGTCAAGACAGGAGAGGTCTGCCGTGCCATGTGGGTCAGCTCCCTGGCAGGCCAGGGATCGAACTTGTGCTGCAGAGGCTGTGGACAGCTTCGTAGGTTGCGTCTCAACCCCTTGCGCCACCAGGGAGGCCCGGTCTTGGATTTTCTCTTCCGTGTGAATCAGTTTATAAAGTTTCACGAAGAATTACCTTGGAATTTTGGTGGAGTGTACACTGGAATGATAGATTTGGGAGAACTGACATATGAAACCTCTCCATCTCTGACCAGGGCATGTATCTGCATCGATCCAAGCCTCTATTATGAAGGCAAAGTGTTACAGTTTTCTCAGAAAGGGCCCTTACCCCAGAGGACACCCTTAGTCACACGGCTCTTGTACAAGTACTTTATTTCAATTACAATAGTGCCACACCAAACTACAGTAGCACGAGACATAATCATACAAAACCAGATCCCAGCTCCAAACCCCATGTCCATGTACCAGCAGAGAAGACAGCCTGTGGGTCTCTGGCCCAAGGGAGGGGCTTTCTGAGGGCAGCTGCCCCTCCACCTTAGCCTTTTCTGAAATTCTTGTGGGGGAGGGGAGTAGGGGTGCTTCCTTTCTTCTGTCCCTGCTGGGCCTCCTCGCCTCCTGCCCCTGCCTTTCCAGAACACCAGGAAGCAGAGGGCAGTTTCCTTCCCTCCGGCTGAGGCGGCCCCAGGACACTTGCTCCCGGCAGGGGGTCTTAGTGCACGTGCCCACAGATGATCTCCAAGACCTAGTCTGTCCACGGGGGCAGCCAGCAGGGAGGAAGGTGGAAGAGGAGGGGTGGGAGGTGGGGCAGGAGGGTGCCAGGGAAGCCTTTTGAGAGGCAGGTGCCTGTGACTCTAGCTCCTCCTCCGGCTCCTGTGTCTCCTTTCCTCTGGAGGCCTGTGGGGATCGGGGCCTCACCTGGAACCCCCTCCCCAGCTCTGGGGCCAGGTGCCAAGGCTATCCCTGAGCTATCTGCTGTTCTTGGGCACAGAGGGTCCTGCTTCCTGGGCAAGGCGACTGCCCCATAGGAGCCTAGAACTGGCCCACCATGGTGGGCACTGGTGGCACCTGTCACAGGTACTGCTTCCCCAGAGGACCAGAGGGGGCTATGATTAGCTCCACCTGGGGACACTCCTAAACCTGCTGTGGGGAGAACCTGTGGCATCAAGGAGGGGGCGACACTGCTGTCCAGACTCCACAGGTCTCACTGCTAAGATTGGGGGATGCTACCCCTTGTAGCCTTCTATGGCTGGAAGCATCCCCCAATAACAGGAATGTCTTGATTCAACTCAAGGGGCTGAGGAGGGATGAAGCCAGGGAAGTTCAAAGGCTCTGCAGACTCCTGACCTCAGTGCTACTAACCTGCAGGACGGTGCTTCTGAGCTGCTGGGAGGGGAGCGTGGGCTCACGTGGGCACTGGGAGCAGGGGGTATGGCCTTGAGTTCCAGTCAGGTCACTTGGGGGCTGCAACGAGGAGGCCCAGGGGGCCCCTGGCAGTGGGAACTGTCTCCTTGGGGTGAGCCCAGGGCCACAGCCCTGGATAAGGCACTAGAGGTCAAGGGCAGGGCTGGTGTGGCCCTGGGAGCCGGGCCCACACCGGTGTGAAGGATGGAGCTCAGTGGGAGGGTTTGGATTCTGTGTGACGTGAGAGGTTTTCTCTTCTCCTTCCGCTGTAGGAGAGGGTTGGCAAGACAGACCCCAAGGCTAGGATGGGGGGATTGCTGCAGCGAGGCAACAGCCCCTGGACAGATGTGGGGTGACCAAAAGAAGAGGGGCACCTACAGCACAGAGGGTGCATCTGATGGGGGACAGTCTCAGCCTGGCAGGGCCCTGGGGTCTAAATCCAGGGTGCCCAGGCACCCCAATCTAGGTTTGAGGGCCCCGACCTGCCGCAGCCACCAGTCCCCATTGCTGTGACTTGAGGACCACACCTTTCTTGCTGTGGTTCCCACTGCTGGGCTGGTGACAGGCAGGCAAGGTGCGAGATGCAAGCGTGTCCCCCCCACCCCCCGCCTCTCCTCCGCACCAGGTGACAGCGGTGCTGGTGCTGAAACAGCATTTTCTGTATTTGGGGCCCTGCTCAGGAGCTGGGGGTCGCTTGCAATAAGGGAGAGAGAGGGGCGAATCGGGGGGCTTCTCTTGTCCACAGGTTCTTTAGAAAAACAGAACATAATAAATATACCAATCCTTTCCTCAAAAAAAAAGTGTTTTAAATGCATTATTTCCCTGAAGACTTCCAGTGTTTTCCACAATGTTTAAAAAATAGTTTCCCCAAAAATATATCTTTAAAGCATTTGACACAGTGGTGTTTGTGGTGCATCTGGCGCAGATGTGGGCTGGGGAGACTGTCCCGCTGCCCTTGTCAGCAAGGGGCCCAGGCCTGTGACAACCGGCTTGACACCCAAATGCCCGTCGAGTTGACGCATGTGTGCCTGGATGACAGGGTCTTCACGGGGGAGCAAATCTCGGACTGTGTTGAGAACATACCGCAGGCTCAGCTGAAGGGCCTCCAGCGCGGGGAAGAAGGCCGGGGCGGCCAAGGGCGGGGCCACGCCCTGGATGCCGGATGGAGGGGGCACCCTGGGGCTCGTCCGCATCCCTCCCCCCCTCCGTCTTGGCTCTCGGTCTTTCGCCCCTCACCAGACTTCACACTTGTGTTGGGGGTTCATGGGGGAGCCGAGCGGGCAGTGGAAATGTTCTGAGAACTCCCTGGAGTTGGAGATGGAGCCGATGACGCGGAAGCGGGAAGGGCTGTGGGGATCGGTGATAAGGCCTTCGTGGGAGCTCTCAGGCGTGCGGACAGAGCACCAGACCTTGGTGAGGGCGACAAGGGAGAGTCTGGTGTCACTGCAGGCACCTGAGGCCACCAGACTGGTCTCATCCACGGCTGCTGGAGAATGAGCCCCCCACCCTAGGACCCCCAGGGTCTGCCAAGTGTGTAAGGAAGATGGCGGGGGGTCCTCCCTTACTGCAGCCTCCGCAGCGTTACCTCCAACTGGGCTCCTTCAGCCAGAGCAGCATGGCTATGCCCCTGGCACTCACGTTAGATTTCACCTGAACAGGGGCTTCTGCCCCCAAACCAGTTTAAAAGCTCAGATTGAGTTCAGATCACTCATCTCCTGGGCAGAACAGACGGTCTAATAGCCCGGAGGCTCTGGGGCCAAGCGAAGGCTAGAAGCTGAATGCCCACCTGAGGGACAACCTGGAGCATCTTGAGTTAAAGAACTTTCTGGAACACCCTTTGTATCACCTTGTCCTCTCATCTACCTGATGCAGGGATGCTTCTAACAACAATCCCGCTCCTGGGACAGTACGACGGCAGAATGTGCTGGAGCCTGGCATTTTTCCTAATGAACTCACCTGTGCAAACCCAAGGAAGAAGAGCTGGTTGTTGGTGAGGCCCAGGGTGGGCAAGGTCTGCTCGGCACCATTCTTCTTCACCCAGTTCTGGTAGGCCTGGGGGGACAGCAAAGGACGCTCAGGACCCCTTGATGCAGAAGCAAGCAGCGGGGACAGAGGGTCTGGAGTGGGAGGTCTGGGAGTGCTCTGGACCTGGGCCTGAGCTTCTCTGTACTCTCTGCACTCCTCCTGAAGAGGGGGGCATTGAAGCCTATGGCTTTCAGCACCATCTACACGCCACTCGCCCCCAATGCATGCTTTCAGCTCCAGACTCCGCCTCAGTTTGTACATTCAGCTGTCATAGCTGGACATCCAAGAGGCATCTCAAATTTAACACGGCACAAGCAGGACTACAGATTAAATACACACTTAACACTTATACACACATACACTCACACGCTCGCCCCATCACAGTAAATGGCACCACCAACCACCTCGTTACTCAGGCCCAAACCCGGAACTCCCCTTTGACTTTTCTCTCTCAATCAAATCACACCCCGCATTGGACCAGGTCTCACTCTTTGTCTGTTGCCTGGATGACCTCACTGAAGCTCTCCAACTAGTCTCCTTCACCAGGCCACGTCCAGTTCCCTCCCAACAGAGCAACCTAACTCATCCTCACAAAGCAGGATGGCACACTTTCCTGTAAAGGGCCCGACAGCAAATATTTTCAGCTCTGGAGGCCAAAGTTTCTGTTGCAACTACTCAGTTCTGCCAGCGTCATGGGAAAGCAGGCACAGACAGCAGGCCTGGCCACATCCCAGCCAGATCTGCACAGACAAAACAGGCCAAGGGCTGGAGCTAGTCCTCAGGCTGCAGGTTTGCTGGCTCCAGTATGAAAAGGGTCAATTGGATCAGGTCATTCTTCTATTTAAAAACCCTGCTGTGCCCACTGTAATCAGAATAAAGCCCAAGCTCTTCACTGAGCACACACAGGTGGACATGCAGGGGCGGACCCACCCGGTAGGCCGCCTTGAGGCCCCCGTTGTCGGCGATGTTCTCCCCCAGCGTGTGCCGGCCGTTCACCGGCTCCCCGTTCACGCTGTAGTTGCTGTACTGCTCCACCATGCACTCTGTCTGCTGCTTGAACGCCTCCACGGACGAGTTCTTCCACCAGGGCCGAAGGTTCCCGTCCTTGTCATACTCTCGGCCTGCAGGGTCAGAGGGAAGCGGAAAGTCAAGGGGAGGAAGAGGCAGAGAGGGCTGCTGCTGCTGGTGCTTCTCCTGGTGGGGCTGGGCGTGCCTGTCCAGCCACACATCTACCAACCAGCGCAGGGAGGCCATGCTGGTCTTGGCATTAAAGGAGCTGGGGCAGTTGGCTGGTGGGGGAGGGGGCAGGGGCTTGGCTGGAGGCCTGTGATGTAGCAAAGGGGCAGCATGTTCCGGTCCGGACAAGGCTGATTCATTGTCCAGGCTGGTCCAGGGGGGTAACTGCAGCTGGGAGTGCTTAGGGTCGCAGGCCCTACCCTCTGAAGTCCCACCTCTTCCTTCCTGGCCTTGGGGACCCCCACGCAAGAGGCAAGAGGATGCTTCTGGAGGTTAATTGGTGAGGGAGCTGACTTCAGCTCCTCAAAAGTGGAGGAAAAAAGGGCCTCCCCGGTGGCGCAGCGGTAGAGCGCTGGGTTGCAAAGCTGCACGCAGCCTCTGCGGCGCCGGTTCGATCCCCGGCTGCTCCCCAGCCACCGGAGGAGGGTCCCACATGGCGCACAGACCTCTCCTGCCGCCCACTGCTCCCCTCAGCAGTGTGCTTCGGTCCTTCTGCCTGCTCTGCTCCCCACTCTGGCTCTGGTGAATTCTCTCACCCTCCCGCGCTTCTGACTGTACCCAGTGCATGTATAAACAAAAAACAAACAAATAAAAAAAAAAAAATGCCTCTATTAAAAAAAAAAAAAGTGGAAGAAAAAAGCATGGACCTGCTGACCACTGATGTAGCACCCACAGGTGATACCACCCCTGGGTACCAGGCCCCTTCCAGGAACAGGGATGGCACTGTGTGACACAGGCCTCAGAGCCGCCCGTGGGCTGGGATCATCAAGCCTGTTTTACAGCAAGGAAGAGGAGGCTTGGGGAAGTGCTGGGACTTGCTAACGTTTACACAGGGGCAGAGCCAGGGTCAGGCTCCAGCTCCATCTGTCTCCAAGGCTAAGACCTTGGAAGTGAAGGGAGCCAAAGCAGAAGCACTGGGAACAGGGAGCACACGGGCCCTGTCTGTAGGGCGCCTCAGGAATCCGTACCTTGATCATCAAAAGCATGAGTCAGCTCATGGCCCACGACGACACCAATGCCACCGAAGTTTAAGGCCCTGGCGGGAGGACACGAAGGGAGAGTGATGATGCAGACCCCCGCTTCCCGGCGGGAGACACAGCACAGCCCGGAGCACCCTGTGGGACGTGGCCCCTGAGGTTGGCCAGAGGCCGTGAGCCGGCTGCGGTCCATCTGTGCCCACCAGATGCCCGTGCCGTGCTGGATGCTCCACACGGCTGCACAGTCCTCTTTGCGCCTCTCCAAAGTCAGGCGTTAGTGACTGACTCCCAAATGAGCAAACCGGGGCAAGGAATGAATGGCTCAATCTCAAGGGCCATGCAAACAGCAAGTGGCAAGCCTGGGATTCAAAGCCAGGGATGGGTGGATATCCTTTCTGAGATGGTGTCCTCACCCTTCCCAACTTGCCAGCTATGGCAAGTTAGAGAAGCCCCCTATAGGGGCTCCTGAAGCCACCATGCCCCAAGGTGCCCGGCACACCGGGGCTGCCAGGCCCAGGAGACCCTGCAGGGGAGCACAGGGCTTTGCTCCCCCTGCAGCTTCTCTGCAAGTCCCGAGTTAGCTGGCTCAGTGGGGCAGAGAGTGGCTCAAAGACAGACTTGATGGTGTTGTCAGCCCTGGGCTGCAAGGCTGGTGCGGGAGGCGGGGTCACGGCAGACGAAGAGCAGAGGCATCCTACTTGGGTGAGGAGCGGGTGTAGAATGGTGCCTGCAGGATCCCGGCTGGAAACACAATCTCATTCTTGGTGGGTGAGTAGTAAGCGTTCACCATGGGCGGGGTCATGCTCCACCTGCAAAGAGCAGACAGTGAAGGCCCAGGCCCAGCAGAGGGGAGGCAGGCAGGCAGCCCAGCTGAGGGTACCCAGAGCCTTAAAAAGTACACTCCCTGGGCCTCCCTGGTGGCACAGGGGTTAAAGACAGCGCTCTCAAGTTATCGGCAGCCACTGCAGCATGAGTTTGATTCTCAGCAGCTGGCCAGGGCATTACCTACATGGTGCAGCAGACCTCTCCTGTCTCACCCGCTGCTCCCCTCAGCAGTGTATTTCAGTAGATCTGCCTATTCTGCTCCCCACTCTGTCTCTGGTGAATCCTCTCACCCCCAGCATCTCTGGCCTATACCCCAGTTCTTCTATGCAAAAAAAAAATAATAATAAAATAAAATAAAAAATATATATTACATGAAAGCATCACTATCTAGGAGATCCTTAAAACTCCGGAAACCACTAATCTCAAAGTACAGGTATATGAGCTACAAGATCATGTGTGGGTAAGAGACTCATTAAAAGTCTAAGACAGACCCCTGGATTTTAGTGGAACAGAGGGTGAAAAGTTCATGGGGACATTTTCCATTTCCATGTTGTGATGAACCTTTAAGAGACCACACCTGTTGAGTTTGGGTATAATATCAACAAAGAATGTACACAAGCACCAGAAAAAACTATTCAAACAGCTCCCGCTTTTCAACTGCTTATCTGTGTGATTGTCATTATATATTTCAAAACAACAGCTTGCGACAGCTTGCAGAAGCAGATGTGGGGACCCAGCTGGCTTCTGTTAAGCCAGACATTAAAGATATTTGCAAAAGTCAACAAAGCATCCCTCACTAAACTTAAAAAAGAGTTATTTTTCATAAAAATTGATAGAGCCATGCAAGCAAGGAAGCTCTTGGAGTCCAGTCACTTTTTTAAGAGAGTCCTGAGAGCAGAGTTTGAAACTGCTGGCGCGTGGCAGTAGTGTGTTTGGCCTCTTTGGGGACTGCGTGGTGTGGAGGGAAATGGTTGGTTAGGAGTGGGGCGAGACAGAAGGATGTTTTCACCAAGAGCATAGGACAGCTCTTGGTGTCTCCTGATGAGTCAACAGAGAAGTGTTAAGGGTTGCCTGGAGCCTTGAAAAGATAGAGACATTTAAATGGTCATATTTATAGTCAAATAATTTCTATACATTCAAATCGTCAAATAATAATCAAGATACACGGGCCTCCCTGGTGGCACAAGGGGTTAAGGCACAACCTATGAAGCAATCCACGTCCACTGCAGCACGAGTTTGATCCCCAGCCAGGGAGTTACCCACATGGCGTAGCAGACCTCCCCTGTCTTGCCCGCTGGTCCCCTCAGCAGCGTACTTTGGTCCATCTGCCTGTTCTGTTCCCCACTCTGTCTCTGGTGAATCCTCCCATCCTGGCCTGTACCCAGTTCTTGTATGCATAAACAAATATTTACAAAAAAAAAAATCAAGGGCCTCCCTGGTGGCGCAGCGGTTGAGCACTGGGTTGCGAAGCTGCCCACAGCCTCTACAGCGCCGGTTCGATCCCCGACCGCCAGGCGAGGGTTCCCACATGGCGTGCAGATCTCTCCTGCCACCCACTGCTCCCCATCAGCAGTGTACTTCCTCAGTCTGCCTGCTTTGCTCTCCCCTCTGGCTCTGGTGAATTCTCTCACCCTCCCGTGCTTCTGACTGTGCCCAGTGCTTGTATAAATAAATAAATTAATCTTTAAAAAAATAATAATCAAGATACATTAAAGGGCAGGAAGCAAAATCTAAATTAAAAAATTTAAGCTAAATTAAAAGACTCCAGATAAGCCTGAAACACTGAGGCAGTGTCTATACCATATTTTAGAGATGAAAGACCACTTTTTATGCATTAGGGGTAATCTGGAAGAAGACAGAAATTATGAGAAAACAGACATGTTCAAACTCTGTTGTCCATGAGGGGGCGCCAGAGGCAAAGAGAAGTTGCTTCACCTCTTGGCAAGATTTCTGCAAACTACTTTAGGAGAGGGACTCAGTCTGGGGACTAATCCTGGGGTGATTATATCTGAGTTTTCTGAGGAGACTTAAGCAACTGATAGTAGGTTTCAATCCAGATTGTTCTTAGTAAGAAGGTCTGGGGTACAAGGCTAGGATGTTCTATTTAAAAATAAATTCCTGAGGGTTTTGGTATGCAATGAGGTGTGAGGGCCCATCCAGAACCTTCCCCAAGCCTTTGTTGGGGAGCTGCCCCTGAGAAGCCACCATGTGTGAGTGAGGACTCAGAGGAAGCCAGGCCTGGCTGAGGGCCTGCTCTGCTGGACACTCCCAGGAAGTACTCACATTTGATTGTCACAACCACCCAAGAACCAGCTCCTCTGGCCTCTCTAAGATAAGAAAGCAAAGTCTGGAGATTCAGAGCTGGGATGTGATGCCAGGCCCCTCAACTCTGCCAACAGGCAGGAGGCGGGAGTCACCTCCGGGCTGATCCCAGCTCTCGGCTGGACAACACTTCCTGGGTACCCGTTTCTCCACCTGAAAAGTGGGACAACGCACCCACGCCTCGGAGGCCCACCTGCCTGTTCCATTAACTAGGGTTAAGTGCAGCCAGAAGGGAAGCTCACCCCAGGCAATGCGTGCCCACAGCCACCGTTCCCCCTCACCCCCACCCCCCCAAGGACAACCCGTGAACTCACTGGTCTCTGTTGGGAGCTTTCCGGAGCTGGTCAGCAGTGACCCTCCAGGAGAAGTTGAAAAACCGCATGGCATTCTCAAAGTAGAGGTCCGGGACTGCGGTGTACTGGACAAGAGAGCAAAGTCCATCATCACAGCCCAACCTGGATGCACCTCGGATGCACGGTTGCAAGACCCTTTTAAAATTGAGACCCCGCGTGGGCCTCCCTGGTGGTGCAAGGGGTTAAGTCTCAGCACAATGAAGCTATCAGCAGTCACTGCAGCATGAGTTCAATCCCAGGCCAGGGAGCTACCCACATGGCACAGCAGACCTCTCCTGTTTTGCCTGCTGCTCCCCTTGGTAGATCTGTATTTTAGTAGATCTACCTGTTATGTTCCCCACTGTGTCTCTGGTGAATCCTCTCACCCTCCAACACCTCTAGCCTGTACCCCAGTTCTTGTATGCATAAATAAATCAATCTTTAAAAAAAATTGAGACCAGGCCTCCCCGGTGGCACAGCGGTTGAGCGCTGGGTTGCGAAGCTGCCTGCAGCCTCTGCGGCGCCGGTTCGATCCCTGGCTGCTCCCGGGCCACCGAAGGCGGGTCCCACATGGCGCGCAGACCTCTCCTGCCGCCCGCTGCTCCCCTCAGCAGCGTACTTCGGTCCTTCTGCCTGCTCTGCTCCCCGCTCTGGCTCTGGTGAATTCTCTCACCCTCCCGCGCTTCTGACTGTACCCAGTGCATGTATAAATAAATAAATCTTAAATAAATAAATAAATAAAATAAAAAAAATTGAGACCCTGTAAGATGAAGGATCAGTTTATGGGACAGAGTCTAAATGGAGGGCTCGGGGCTGCAGGCTGGGACCCTCTAGGGCCTGACATGCTCCCCCTTTATGTTAAGAACCCTAAAGTCCACTTAGAGAGTCATTAAGAGCCTCACCCAGGACCACTCAACACCTCATCATGTCTTGGGCTGTGGACACCCCTTCTGCAGTGACAGGCCCTGGGCAGGAAGTGCCCCTGGCACCGTCAGCGAAACTCTATGATGGAGGGCAGAGGCCAGGCCTGCAAGTGCACGTCAGACCCTGCCACACCATGACCAAGCATGTCCAGCGTGGCTAGTGTGACTTTTACCTAATTTGTCTTAACTTAGAATTGAATGAATGAAGGCGCCATCTTCATCAAGTGACGCTGAGATCTCTTCAGTCAAGCTGGGATCTGCCTCTGAAACTGGCATCTACACACACCTTCCCATCACTCAGCCCAGCCTCCCCGCTCTTGTGGGGCCCCCCCCTCAGATCTCTTCAGAGCTTTCTGGCTAATGGGCCCTTGGGGGCAGCACCCCGGGCTGTGGGCTCTGCCTGTCTCCAGGAGCCCCTGGACCCCTGGATCTTGTAGCATGACGCCCTGGAGCATCTCAAATTATTCTCAAGAAAAAAAGGCTGCGGAATGAATCCCATATTCTCAGAAGTAATTTTGACATTCTTAGGTTTTAAATATAACCCGTGATGAGGGGTTATTATAATTGCAAAAATGCCTGAATTCACAAACTGCAATCACAAGAAGATATAAAACTTTTATCTTTGGGGGCAGAGAAACAATCCACTTAAAGGAATGAGTTGCCAGAAGCTTCCCCCACGAGACACCGAATAACTGTTATTGCCCAAATTAAGCTCAAAAGTGCATTTGGGACTTAGGCTTCCTCTTTCCCATTAGCATTTTTTTTAAAAAGATTTATTTATTTATACAAGCACTGGGTACAGTCAGAAGCGTGGGAGGGTGAAAGAATTCACCAGAGCCAGAGCGGGGAACAGAACAGGCAGAAGGACCGAAGTACACTGCTGAGGGGAGCAGCAGGCGGCAGGAGAGGTCTGCACGCCATGTGGGACCCTCCTCTGGTGGCCGGGGAGCAGCTGGGGATCGAACCGGCGCTGCAGAGGCTGCGGGCAGCTTCGCAACCCAGGGCTCAAATGCTGCGCCACCAGGGAGGCCCTCCCATTAGCATTTTTTTTTTTTTTTTTTTTTATAGAGGCATGCTTTATTTATTTGTTTGCTGGTTTGTTTGTTTTGTTTATACATGCACTGGGTACAGTCAGAAGCGCGGGAGGGTGAGAGAATTCACCAGAGCCAGAGCGGGGAGCAGAGCAGGCAGAAGGACCGAAGTACACTGCTGAGGGGAGCAGCGGGCGGCAGGAGGGGTCTGCGCACCATGTGGGACCCTCCTCCGGTGGCCGGGGAGCAGCCGGGGATCGAACCGGCGCCGCAGAGGCCGCGGGCAGCTTCGCAACCCAGCGCTCAACCGCTGCGCCACCAGGGAGGCCCCCCTCCCATTAGCATTTTAAGGTCCAAATGAGACGTCCAGATTTCTCTGGAAATGGGGGACCAGGGGATTCCATGGAGAGGCATAATTCTGGGAACTGTAAAGGAGGAGGAGATACGAGGGGCCCCACTATGTATCCTGCCCTGATGTTTAGGTGCACCCATTCTCTCTGCATCTTCCAGGACCCGGTACCCCCGACTATTTCCCACTCATGAAATGGAGCTGACTGTTTCTATAGGGGCACAGCTCTGGTGCCCACTTCTTTTTTTTTTAAAGATTTATTTATTTATGCATACAAGAACCGGGGCACAGGCCAGATGTGCAGGAGGGTGAGAGGATTCAACAGAGACAGAGCGGGGAACAGAACAGGCAGACTGACTGACACATTGCTGAGGGGAGCAGTGGGCAAGGCAGGAGAGGTCTGCCGCGCCATGTGGGTATCTCCCTGGCTGGCAGGGTATTGAGCCCGCGCTGCAGAGGCTGCGGACAGCTTCACAGCACTGTGCTCAACCACCTGCGCCACCAGAGAGGCCCTGATACCCACTTTTGCACATCAAATGGTGGTGGCTCAGGGAGGCAGGGCTTTCTGCTGGCCCAGGAGAGGATGCCCCTCCTGCCTGGTCCACACCCAAACCCTAGCACAGCATCTTGAAAGTCTTGACAGTCACATGGTGCCTCCATCCAGACCCAGCCTCTGCCCTTTCCCAAGTGGGACCTGCAGAGGCATCTGGGGATGCAAGTGGGCAGTTTGGGAGTCACTTACGTCATTGAACACTTTATCGAGTTCCTTGGGGTCCATGATAAAGTTGGGGTAACCTATCATGTTGTAGATTGCATCCGCCTGGACAGGAGAGACAGAGGACAGTGAGTACCAGGTGATGCCCTCAGGATGTGCGTCCTCCTACCTCAGGGCTTTCACACAGCCTTTCTGGAAAGATTCCCCTCCTATCTAACTGTGACTGATACTTTGGATCTGCCTTAAGTGTCACTGTGCAAGGGCAGCCTCCTCTGGTCACTACCCACTGGCATCATCAGCTCCTTTGCTCCCTGTTCGAGGCTGCGCATGCCCTTCTACTCACACTGGCTTGGTCTCACGTGGCCACTAATGCAGCCACGTGCTCACGGCTGTCCCTCCATCCTGAGTCCAGCCTGAGAGCCGCACAGCACTGTGCTGAGCTCAGGGGACAGAGGCAGCATCTCCTCCATCCGCACTCCTGTACCTGTTCCTGCTGCCACCCCCTTCAGGCCCCTGGCGAGCCTCACCTTTTCCTTGGCTGATTTCCGAGTGTCTTCATCCATCCACTTCAGGCTGCTCAGGCTCTCCTCAAATGCCTTCTTGATCTCCAGGATTATCTCGCTGGCCTGAGAAGGCAGGTGCAGAGGCAGTGAGGCCTGGGCACGGGGCTTGCCTACACGCCACGGCCCCCACGCACAAGGAGGCCGGCGGGCTGGAGAGTAAACTTGGCTTTGCTTCCAAGGCTCAGTTTCCAGATGCTGGGCTCGGGCAGTCAGAGCTGTGGTCCCCACTCCCAGCTCTTCTGAGCACCAGTACCCCGCAAGCCAGGGCTGGACTTCATGTACAGGGCTCCCTGGCTAACATGCTTAGGAAACGCGGGGTGAGTCTTTTCTTAGGGGGCCTCCCCACAGCCTGTGATGCAGAACATGTACTGTGGTTCTTCCCGAGAGTGCTAGAAGACATGGGCTTTCTCAGGTTTATTGAGCCACAGAATTTCTTTCTGGTGGGTTGAAAGCAGAAACCTAGAGCACGCAAACTCAGGAGCAGCTTCAGAGATGCTGGGCTCGGGCTGCCCTCCAGGGTGACTAGTCAGCCCTGGAGGTGGAGCTCCCGGAGCAGAAACTACAGAGGGCTGATGGCGACAGGCCCCAGCAGACCCCGCATAAGTCACTCATGGGTTTGTCACATAAGAGATTTGAGTCTCAGTTTGCTAACCTTTGGCTATGAATAATATGCATGAAAATACTATTAGTACTAAAACCCAACAATAATAGAACAGCTGCCCTGTGTTCAGTCTGGTGCCCCATATCCATAGCATCTCATTTGATCTCTCCCTGTGGCCCCCAAGTTACAGGTAAGGGGCGACTACTGCCCCAATCACCCAACCAGGAGGTGGTGAATCCAGGGCTGGAGGTGGGGCCTGGCTGCTCCTCTACCTGTCCAGGACAGACTGTCACCTGTGGGGTAAGCAATGTCACCCTGGACTCGGAGCTGCTCTGCCAGCCTTACCCTGCTCTGCACCCCCAGAAGGCGGAGACAGCGGGACACCCTTGCAGCTCTCGGGTGAGGCCTAATGATAGTCCAGACACAGTGCCCGGCGCCTGACAACAGCAGCTGTTACAAGTAACTGCCAGTATCCCAGGACCTGGGAGTAAAGCTGAGCCCTGGCCAACAGTTGGTCCAGAGCGTGGCCGCCACGTTGCGGGCGTGACACCATGGCCTGTGTTCAAGGGGGATGCACTTACAATGTTCTTGCTGTCCTCGGCAAAGGTCGCTTTGACAAACATGGGGCCCAGAGCAAAGCCCAGGTTGTTTTCTGTGTCACTCACGCAGAACTTCCAGCGAGGAAGACAGGTCTGAAAGACGAGTGAGAGCGGTTACGCCTCCCAGGCCTCCTCCCTCCCAGTCTCTGTCAAGCTGGGCTCACGTTTCCTTCCAGTACTTTAGGGATAACTTTCCTGACCCAGTGGCAGTTATTTTAGAGTCAAGAGGCCACAGACATCCCTGCCGCCTCCCGCACCGGGCGGCCACCAGGCTCTGCACCCACACTTTATAACTGGAATCCTGCTGAGAGGTCAGAATGAGCCTGCGGGGCAGGGTGACCAGCCCTCGGCAGACAAGGAAACACTCAGCCAGGCCGTCGCTGGCCTAGGGCCCCACAGAGAGTGAGCAGTGCTGTGACATGACGGGAACTCTGGCACGTTGGCCCCACAGCCCACACTCTCATCCCTGCTTGGGCCTACCTATATCCATCTGTGCCTGAGAACCGTGGGGTGTGACCTTGTCTACCTCCGAGCAGCAGGAAACCTTCCTTGGAGGCAGGACCCAGTTCAGTTAGAGTGTCCCAGGGGAGACCTGCCCCAGCAACACTCAGGACTTCAATGCTTCTGTCCGTCCAGGCTCTTGGCCTGGCCCAAGAGCCCTGAGGACACAGCCTCCCGGAGCTTGGCTCGGAGCCCCTGCGGCGTCCTGCCCGCTGCTCCTTCCCACCCAGGCAGCCTCTGCCACACACGGAAGACAGCCTGCTGCTGCAATTAAGTGACGTGGTTACAGCAGCATTAAGTGTGTGGTTACAGCAGCATTCCAGCTCAGATCTCCTGGCTTCAAGTCCTGGGCTCATCCTCTCTACTACACAATGGGATACTCCCCAGCTTTACAGACTAAAAGTATTTGCACAAATGGAGGTGTTCTCGAGGGTCCTGGGAGACGAGCTCAGGGATTTTCCCTTACAACAGATAAGCAGAGAGGTATAAAGACAAGGTGACATACCGGGACCTGCACCAAGGTGGATGGACCTGGCCTGGGCCTAGAAACACCATGGTGGGGGTTCACCCCACTGGCCCTGAGGAATCCAGGGGCCCTGACACAGAGCTGCCCCCTGCCCTGGCCTCCCTGTGCCCTGCCAGCTCCCAGCACCTGCTGAGCACCCTGCACTTTGAGCCGGGTCCAGGGAAGCGTGCTCCATCCACCCACCTACCCACTCATATGCCTACCTATCTACTAATCTATCTGCTTACACTGTGGTCAAACATACTAAGATTTACCATGGTAACCCCTTTAAGAGCACCCTTCAGCAGTACTGGGTGTAATCACATTGCTTTGCAACAAATGTCCAGAATTTATTCATCTTGCAAAGCTGAAACTCTGTATCCACTGACCAACATCTCCCCATTCCCCAGCCCCCAACCCCTCAGTCCCTATCAACTCAGCCTCAGGAAGCTGATTTTTAACTTTTGCTCCTGCAGAGCAGAGGCTGGGGTGCACAGTGTTTGGGGTACAGGTTGTAGAGTCTGAGGTGTGGGTTTTGAGCTCACTCTCCACTTTGGATCTGTGTTTTGAACAAGTCCCTTCCCCTCACGGAGCCTCAGTGTCCTCATCTGTAAAATGGGATGATGATAATAGTTCCTAATACACGCAGCGGTTGTAGGAACTCGGTGAGCCAACACCTATACAAGGTAAACACTGATGATATCTTTTAGAATTACGATCATTATTGCTTGTGAAGAGCTGAAAATGCAGAAGAGCTGTAGTCAGCCAGACTGGGACTGAATCTAAGTTTGGCTGCTTCTTGGCTGGGGGGCTTGGGAAAGCCTCCGTGTCCTCATCTGAACCTGGGTGGGTAAGCGATGGTGCAGGCCCGCCCCACACACCGCCTCTGTGATAGCGTCTGGGTCCTGACCATCTAGATCCTTCCTGTTTAAAGTTCCGGGAAGACCAGGCATTCCAGGGTCAGAGTCCACTTGTTGCCATGTGTCTGACCCCGGGGCTCATCCAGGGCTGCTCCCAAGTTGGTGTGGCAGGAAGGCGGGTCAGCTGGGCTGGGCAGACGCATCCTCTGCCACCCAAGGGGCTGGGCGGCTCAGATGGCTGGCTCCCTGGGGAGCCCTCTGGTCAGGAGCAGGGCTTGTTCACAGCCACCCTCCCCCTCAGTCCCTTTCCTGTCAAAGATGGTGTACACAGGATGGGAGAGAAAGGAGAGCTTTTTCCAGGGTGAACCCCAGGGCTGGAGGCAGGTGCCCACATCCTGCATTCTGTGCCAGTCCTTATCTGGTTCCCTGCTCCACCGGGCCTGGGAGGGGCTTTGAGGACAGGGAGCAGCTAGAGCCAGCACTGCTGTTCTCTGGGGGTTTGCTGGTCACTGTCCTGGGGTGTAGGGGAGAACAGGGTGTGCTGGGTGGGCTTGGCACCCCCGCCCCTCCCGCTCTGTAGCTGGTGCAGCTCCCAGCTGCCCCCAGAGCCCTGGTTCTGTGGGTGCACCTATCTTCTGCTCAGCTCACCTGGGCTCTGGGGGCACAGATCCATCTTGCATATTCCACCCTGGGCACGGGTGTCTGGCTGCGTGAATGGGAGCATACCCGCCACGTGCTTGGGGAGAAGGTGGAAGTGGCTGGCTCAGGAGCTTCCCACTGGTAGCAGGTTCCCTGGGGGAGGGTGGGGCAGGGACCTGGAGCCCTGGGGCCTCCGAATGAGCTCACCCTCATGGTGGGCAGACTTAGGGGTGGTGGAGGCCACTTGGTCTGGGGCCCGACGATGCCAGTGAACTCACCATGAGCCAGTTGCTGCTGTGCGTCTGTCATGCTTATGGGGAGGAAGTAGTATTATTGGGGGTGCCCTGTGCAAAAGGAGGAGGGTGACTGTGCCTGTCTCTCAGGGGATGTGAGACCTTGGACTGGCAATGAGCTAAATCGCTGACTCTTTGTAAAGAGTCCCCTGGAAGCTTCTGCCCCTCCCCAGATGGCTTAGGTCCCCTCCTGTGCATCGAGGGACACCAGGGTGACTCCCATAGAGGTCCCTGTGATTCTCAGCCTATCATGTACCCATCCTATGAGCTTCATGGCCCTGGATGGGGGTACCCTGGTCACAGCAGACCCCAAACCACGGCTTGGCACAGAACAGGTGCTCAGCAAGTGAATGTGAAAGCACAGGGACAGACTCACCTTCTTAGTCCCATACATGACTTCCATGAACTTCTCATCGGCATCCTGAAAGCGCTGATCGAGGAAGGAACTTGTCTTCCGCACCAGGTTCCAGATCATGTAGTTGTTCAGCAGGCTGGGGCAAGAACACCACACAGGCTCAGGAATGCCCGCAGCTTGTAGCTTGCAGCACGTTTTCTACTGACCTTGAGGGGTGCTTGGACCTTGCCTTCCCATCTCAGGCCCTTTCCTGGGCTGCCTTTGGGCCGGTTACTGCTCATCTAGGGGGATCCTGGGTGTCCTGGTGAAACCCTCTCTGGGCCTAATGTAATGACTTGTACACCACAAGTGCTCAGTACATGCTTGTTGCAGAGCAGTGGCAGCCTGGATGGTATACGGTACCGGGCTGGAATGGGGAGGGGGCTGCCCAGTGTGGAGGTGTCCTGGTCAGAAGATCAGAGGTGGGAAAGGGAGGCTAGAACAGGAGGGGCAGGAAGGGAGCTTTGGCAGCCAGGCCAGGGTCTCCATGGAGGAGAGTTCTCATTACCCCCACTCTGAGGCACAGAGAACTCTCTGTGGCTGTTGTTACTTTTACAAAGAAGTTGCCTGAGCACAAAGCAATGCCCACTGCAGTGACCATCTAGCATTAAATTGGAACCAATCTAAATGCGTGAGAATGGGGGAGGAGGTGAGTAAACAAGCATATGTATATTCCACGGAATACTATGCAGCCATGAAAAATGAGGTCTGCAGAGAGTTTGAGGTGACACGCAGAAAATGCTTATGATAAAGTTCAAGGGAAAATAGTCTAGATATCAAGTCATAATGATAGCAGAATAAGAACCATGTATTACAAAATCTACATCCCTTACACATAGACTTTCTATAAACATCCAATGAGATTGAAGGTAGTGTTTTGGGTAATTAAATTTTTTTCCCTATAGCTTTAAAAATTTCCCCAACAAATCTTTTAAACTTAAAAGCCTATCATAGGGCCTCCCCTGGTGGCACAGTGGGTTGTGAAGCTGCCTGCAGCCTCTGCAGCGCCGGTTCAATCCCCGGCCACCGGTGAGGGTCCCGCATGGCGCACAGACCTCTCCTGCCGCCCGCTGCTCCCCTCAGCAGTGTACTTCAGTCCTTCTGCCTGTTCTTCTCCCTGCTCTGGCTCTGGTGAATTCTCTCACTCTTCTGACTGTACCCAGTGCTTGTATAAATAAATAAATCAATCTTTTAAAAAAAAAAAAAAGCCTATCATTTATTAACTAAAAACATTAGCTAACATTTACTGGGTCGCATTCTGGGTCAGGCACTATGTTAAAATACAATACGTCACATGGATTATTTCACTCAGTTCTCACAACCACCTTATATGGCAGGTGCTATTTGTGCCTCCTTCTTTCACACGAGGAAGTGAACCTTAGTAAGAATAAGAAATTTGCCCAAGGCTACAAAGCTGATAGGAGGAGCTAGGATTTGAACCTGTGACCTGGGTGCCCTGCTGCCTCTCATAAAAAGCCAGCCCCATGGCCCATTTTCCTGTTAGTCTGTCATCCGCTGCCTCCACCTGTTCTGCCTGAGAGGAGGGCAGTAGTGTGTGATCCACTGGTATGTCTGCGAGAGACCAGTACCAGGGCCCTGGGGGGTCCCTTACCACTTGTCGGTGTTGTTGATGAGGGTGGAGACCTGGCCAAGGTACTCTTTGTCGTAGACAACAATGGGCTCGGACTCATTGATCTCCACTGGGTAGAAGATGGTGTTGAGGAAGGGCAACCAGTTGATGGCAGGGGCCAAGGTCTGGAAGGGAAGAGGACAGCGTGACCTGACAGGGCTGTGTCTCCCAGGCCCCAGTCTCCAGGGGTTTCTTCTGCCAAACGTGTCATCTTTTTTCCCATCCTTGCACTAGAGCTTGACACTGACGGTACCGCAGGTGTCTAAAGAGACATTAGTCAGAGATACTGTAGCTAGAACTCCAAGGAACCAAACAGCAAACTGTAACTTGAAATGGAACTAGGACAGACTAAGAACAAACACAGACAGCAGCAACAGCTACCCTTGGACAAGCCTTTCCTGCACCAGGATCTTTTGCAAATGACTCACATGTCTTCCCTCCACTGGACCTCATGACACCTAGCAGGCAGGGACTGCAATCTCCACCTTAGTGATGAAGAAACTAAGCCTCAGCCACGCCTATAATATACAAGTGTGTAAAACCTGCAGCTCAGTGTCTGGGGCCATTTTCCAGCTTTCTTACTGTATAATCTTGGGTAAATTGATTGCCTTGGGGTCTCAATGGAAAAGTGGGAATCATCATCGTAATGAATCCCACCTCATAGGGTTATGTATGAGGATGAAACAAGAGTTAGCTCTTGTTTATGCAACACTTGTCTCAGCAACATCAACAAGCTTCTATATACAATTGGTAAATTCTAGAGTGACGGCCATATGTGTAAATTGCTTTGGCGCGTGGGTGATTTTTCTCAGGCATGGGGTCTGGAATATCAAGGGTAAGATGATAACCTTCAGTAGGAAAGGAAAAGCTGAGAATGTATGTGGGTAAACAGTCCCACCATGGCCACTGTAATCTATCCAGGGTCGGGAAAAGGTGTGCCTGGGAGACGTCAGCCCAGTGAGCCTGCCCTGCAGTGGGATGAGCTAAGCAAGGAAGGAGACCTGGATTGGAGTCACCACCAAGAGTCAGCTCTGGGACCTCAAGCTATTGTGCGACCTTTCTCTAAAATGAGGGGCTTGGGCCTCCCCTGGTGGCGCAGGCGGTTGAGCATCGCGCTGTGAAGCTGTCTGCAGCCTCTGCAGCGCTGGTTTGATACTGGCTGGCTGGCGAGGGTCCCACATGGTGCGGCAGACCTCTCCTGTCGCGCCCGCAGCTCCCCTCAGCAGTGTATTTCATCAGTCTGCCTGTTCTGTTCCCCACTCTGTCTCTGGTGAATCCTCTCACCCTCCTGTGCATCTGGCCTGTACCCCAGTTCTAATATAAATAAATAAATCTTAAAAAATAAATAAAATAAAATGAGGGGCAACACCCTTTAATCCCCCATCCCCAAACTGCTGCTCTGCTCCTCCAGGGACCACTTGCTCAAAAATCTTGTTTCCTCTCTCCCTCGCTTTTCTGCTCAGGCAGATAGGTGCTGGGGCTCTGCCTTCACATTTCTGTGGGTATAGAACGTGCAGGTGTCCCTGTGACAAGGATGAACTGGGCTCAATGCTTACACCTCCCTGATGGCATAACCCGCTGACGGGGACGCCTGGGAAAACAGCCAAGTTTACAAAATGTCATTGTTTCTATAACTGATAAAAGCCTCAAAAACAGCAGGCAACTGGAACTGTCTAATCAGGACCCAGAGAGCAGGTGGTGACACATCCTACGACTGAGCACAAGCCTGTCCCTTTAGGAAGAGCAGGTGTTCTGTGCAGGTAAATTCCCACAGTCCCGAGATAATATGTATGATGAATTTTCACATTTTCAATCTTTACTGCTTCGGTGAACTAACTTAAACATGTGTGCCGGGGCCGTCTCCATGGAGATGGGCCAGAGGACACAGCTGGCCACCCAGTGGCCAGGAGGCTGCAGAGGAGGCAAAGATGGGGTTGCTGGTGCTCTTGGGCTTCCTCTGAGTAGAGACCTGGAAGCGGCGGAGGGGGCACAATTCCAAACAAGTTTTTGTGTGGCAAGTTCCTAGAAAGAAGTGGGGAACGTCCTCAGATCCCAGAGAGGCAAGACAAGGATGTCCGGTGCATGGTTCTGAACACAAACTCCCCCGGGAGCTGGACCAGAACCACTCAGTGGAGGCAGGAGCCTTTCCCTGAGTTCCAGGGAGTACGGGAAGAAAATCAAATTTCCAGACACCAGAAACAGCCAGACAGTCTGTCCCAGGGCAGAGTGAGTCAACTTGGTCTGTGCTGGGGACCTTGGCTGGCACACCAGTGACCAAGGGATAATGCTAGTGACGTTTTCACGATGAGTGCCAACTTGCCAAGTGGAATCTCAGTCTTTGCCTCCTGTCATCCCCACAGCCCAGTAGGCAGAGAGTTTCTCTAGGACACCAAGCCTCAGGGGTTCATAATGTCTTAAACGTTGATACTGTTTTTTTATATATGTATGCCCATTTCTCCTGGGAGACACTCCAGGCTTTTCAGCCTGTTTTCAAAGGACCCTAACTTAGTGAAGACCCTGGTCCTCACCAGGCCCAGGTCTCCTGTGGCCTGGTTCCAGCACAGAGCAGGGGTGAATGAACACACAAAGCCCCACTTCACGAGCGGGGAAACCAAGGTTCAGAGAGGCAAGTTAGGGGACTTGTCCATGGTCACGCAGGTCACAGTGGGGCTGGGCTGGAGCAGCCTCTGACCCCAAGCCCAGGGCCCACATGCCTCCACGCTGCTGCTGACGCTGCTAAAGTCTTCCCCAGCCTGGCAGTTGTGCAGCTGGAGAGAGGAGCTTTTCCTGCTGGGAAGGGTGCAGCAAAAGTGACAGGAGAGGACGCCTGGCTGGGGCTGATGTGCTCAGGGGCACTGTGCCTTCCTGGCAACTGTGGGGTGCTGAGGGACTACTGGGCCCCCCCTGGGGCTGAGAACAGGGCAGCTGGAGCAAAGCAAACCATACTGCACAAATAGCATTTCCCTCGACCTCATGGTTCCGGGGAGAAAAAACAGTGCCAGATGGAGCCCATCACAGGCTGCTGATGTCCACAACAACCCGCCTAGCACCACTCTCCCTGATGCCAACATCTCTGGGGACCTAATGGGCTGTGACACACAGAAGGAGCCAGGCTCTCTTGAAGCACATCAAGAGCAAGGACCCAAGGTGGCCCTGTAGACTCCTGATGGGCAGAGGAATTGAGGGAGATAAAGGCTAGGGGTCTTGGTGTTCCTCCTGCAAGGAGAGGAGGAGGTGAGCCCAGCTCTGCCAGGCAGGACTGGGTTGGGCAGAAGGCAGAGAAGAAGGGAGGAACCATTTTGATGGAGCCCCAACACTGGGGGCCTGGACATGCTCCCCAGAGGGGGAGTAAGGTCCAGCCAAGTATTCTCAGGCAATGGCAGGAAACAGGAAGATTGGTTGAGCCCACTTGGCTGATTCCTCTGCAAACCTGGGGGTCTGGGGTAAGGCAGGACTGCAGCACCGGAGGAAGTTGGAAGGAGGACAGGGCAGGGTACCTGCTCACCACCCGTGACTCCCAGGCAGCCACCAGGGGGCAGCCTTGGGCTGAGGCTGACCTACAGAGGGGACTTTCTCTATGGGCTATTCCTGGCACAGAGGGCACCCAACCCTGTGCCACTAGGAGGTCACAGGGGGACATGGGCAAGAGCAGAGCTTCAGTAAGTCCAGTGTGCAGCTCCCCAGTCACGTAGGCGCCCAAGGCCTTGAACATACCCCGGAACCTCCCGGCTTGGGAAAGGGAGAAGAGAGGACAGAACCCACCCCTTGTTTATTGTTTGCTGTACCCCAGGCTCCATGAGCTTGGTGCTCGAGAGATGAGCAAAGCTCGATCAAGGTGAGTCTCCCCGGGAAAAGCTGTCACAGAAAAGCAGCCTGGCGTAGCGCAAGAGATGAGCTGTGTGGACTTCAGCAGCTAACTTGACCTCTCTGAGCCTGTTTTTCCACCTGTGCACCGGGGATGACGATCACACCTGCTTCACAGGGTGGTGCTGAGGGTCTGATGGGTTGGGTTTAGAGCTTGTGGCCCCTCACCCTCTGCCCTGCAGCCCTGTGGCTGTCCCAGCCTTGGCGGGTTACCTGTAGCTCGGCTGCTGTCACTTTGTGGTAGATGAGCTCCTCATCCCGGCGCTTCTCCTGGGGGATGGTGATGTTGGCCAGCGCCGTCTCGAAGTCCAGGATCTGCTGCATCTGGGGCCGGATGGCGTCCTCGTCCCCCCCGCCCAGCAGCTTCCCCAGCTGGACCATGTAGTTCAGGTATCCTGTCAGCACCTGTGGGGCCAGCACCCCAAACTCTTAGGAGCTGCAGCCCATCACTACCCCCATCACTACTGGCTTTAGCCCAGGACAGGGAGTGGAGGCTTCACCCAGGAGACACCCTGGAAACCAGCAGCAAGAATGATTCCAATGCCATCTCTCTGGGGACTCCCAGCAGCCCTCGGGGTAAAGCCCACACGTCCCATGTGGCTTGGTCCCTGCTATCCCCCCTGGCTGTTTGACATATGAAAGCCATTAGTGGGGATCCTGGCACCATGAGGCAGGCTGTGTCTTCACCACTGTCTCCAGACAACTAGGTACTTAGTAGATGCTTGCTCAATACAAGCAGGTGGAATAAGGAAAGAACAGACAGTGAACTTCAGCAAGGCCCCCTGGCCCCCGAGCATCAGGGGTGGCAGCCAGGGAGAGATGGGCATGGACTTTCAGGGATCTGGATGTGAATTTCAGCCTCATCGCTTACTGGCTGTGCAAGCTCCATAGGGGCCACTCCGTATCTCTGAAACTTATTCCCTCCTCTGTAAAAGGCAAGGAAAAGCCACAGCCATGGGACAGATCCGGTGAGTTCAGAGACATCCAGTCTCTGCAGGGTTATTGGGTCTGGGGGGGCAGAAGTGATGGATATAAAAGGCTGAGCACCCACAAACAGTGTGGCCGTTATCACTGTCTTGCTTTAGAAAGGGCACCAACAACACCTGTCCCCTGCCCACTGCACCCACGATGCCTAATTGTGGGAAGCCTGGAGGTGTCCCCATGCCAGGGACTGCCTGTAACCCATAGGTAAGGAACACGTGTTTTTCAAAGACCTGCACAGGGGGACACAGGGAGAGGTGGGATGTTGTGGGGAGTAGGCCGGGTGGTGGTGTGGGAGTCATTCTCTCTGGAAAGGTGAACTCACCTTCTCATTTTCAGTTTTGTTCAGATAATAGTCTCTTGAGGGTAAGCCCAGGCCAGACTGGTCCACCTGGAGAGAAAGGAGGGTGTGAGGGGGACTCACCTGCCCACTAGCCTCTGCCCCTGTCCCCCCCCCCCGCCCCGGACACTGTGCAGCCAGTGGAGGGTCCCAACAGAAGCACGAGCTGGTAGCTGAGGCAGCCCCTGTGACGGGCCCACTGTGTTCCTGTCCAGCCTGGGGACAGCACAGGGACTCAAGCCCCCTGACCAGGATAGAATCATCCTCCTCTTCACATCTCCTGGCCTCGGGAAGGACCTGTGTCATCAAACGCTTCCTCAGGTGATGCAGTGGTTAAGTCATTCCCAAGCTGTGTGACCTTAGTTAAGTTACTAAACCTTTCTGACTCTCAGGTTCTTCATCTGGAAATAAGGAACTTCCTAACCTGGGATTCAGGAGAGTACCAGAAAAGGGCTTGCTGAGAGCCAGGCAGGTAGGGGTCAGAAACACCACCAGAGCCTATGACGACACCCTGACATACCTAGAGATAGTTCATTTGCTTAATTAGGAAAGTTCAGCTCAGACAGGTTGAGGCATTTGCCTGAGGTCACAGTGAGGGAGTAGCAGAGACAGGTGGAAATGCAGCCCTCACGCCCTCCGCCTGGGCTTCTCACTCCTGCATCTGGAGTGGGCGGGCCAGTGCTGGGACTCCCCTGGGTGTGGTGGGTGCAAAGCCAAGCCAAGCAGAGCCACAAAGGCTGAGGCTGAGGTGGAGAGGTCGCTCCAGCTATGCCTGGCAGCTGACTCCCTCACTGTGTGACCTCAGGCAAATGCCTCAACCTGTCGCTCTGGGGGGTCCACAGTGACCCATCAAAACCCAGCAGAGTCATCTGTGAACCCAGGGAGGGCAGTCTGCTCTTTTACAACTTCTTGCCTCCAAACATGTCACGGTTGGCGACTTCCAGAAACAACCCAGGCTCAGAATCCAGAAGCCTGGCCTGCCAAGTGCCCCCGCACCTCCCCCACCCCCGCCCCAGCACTGGCTAAACTCAAAATGCTGTGGCTCTTGCCCTTCCCTCTTCCTGGTTCCAGGCCAGCTCACCTGGATCACGTTGCTGTTGGAGTTCTTAGAATCGGCGCTGACGTAGACGGAGAAGAATGGTGAGGTGCGGTAGTGCGAGGTGACCACCTGCAGGGTGTCCTGGAAGTTGTCCTTGTCCCAGGGGCCTGTGATGTTCCAGCCCCCGAGCTGTGAGGTGGGAGAGGAAATGGGAAAGTGATGATGTGGCAAGGAGGCCTGGGGTGAATCTGGCCTTTGCTGACTTGCTCTGTGACCCTGGGGCCTCCAGGGCCAACGAAAGGATGGTCTTTCTTTAGTGGGCATCTGACCAGTGAACTGGAGGTCCCCGGTGGAGCAAACACTTCTCCCAGACAGTGAGCCACGAGTCCACATGGGGCTGCTCCCTGGGGGCTGGGGCCGGGGCTGGGAGCGAGACCCCTGCACACTCCACTTTATTAATATTCATTAATACTGAATCATGTGAGTGCCGTTGCTGTGAAACATGAATTCAACTGTGTGTATGGGAAGGAAAGGCTCCATATGGGCTACTACAGTCCTCAGGTCTGGGATCTTATTTAATCTCCTCCATCTTACCCAGCTGTGCACATGCAGGCATGTAGGCCTGTGTCAGGGAGGAGAAACTGGGAAGCCCCCTGTGCCCTCAGTCCTCACCCTGCCTCAATGTGTGCCCCAAGCAGAGCTTGGGGGCGGGGCCTCCAGGGAGGCGGGGGGGGGGGGCGTGGGATGGGCAGTCAGTAAACATCCACAGCCACCCTTGGGGGCCCCATCGGACTCCATCCAAGGTTGCCTGGAGGCACCAGGAAGAATGACTTCTCCTCTGTAGCAGGAACGGGAGTCCAGGGTGCAGGGTGCGTGTCCTCCCTAGGACTCGACTTTCTGTGGGTCCTTCTGGAACACACATATCCCGACTCACACACAAACATGGAAATGGCAGCAGCAACTCAGAGAAACATTTTCCCTGTAAATATGGCCACTGTCCCACGCACAGATGTAGAGACAGACACCACAGGCGTGACAGACATCCACAACAGACGCTGATATGCAGACACAGGAGAGGCTTCTGGTGGCCTCCTGCTGGGGGCCCAGCGCACAGGGAGGGGGACAGAGTCCCACAGGCACCCTGGCATAAAGGATTGGGACGCTGCTTGCAGGGTGGGGCAGGGGTAGAAAATGGCCGCCAGGTCAAGTGTAAATCTGAGGAAGACACCTGGCCCCACTGAGTAATTCATAACGTAAATTCAGAATGAACGGGCTTTTAAAGCTTAGGCCAGGGCCTCCCTGGTGGCGCAAGGGGTTAGGCACAGCACTGTGAAGCTGTCCACAGCCTCTGCAGCACGAGTTCAATCCCCGGTCGGCCAGGGAGCAACCCACATGGTGCAGACCTCTCCTGTCTCACCCGCTGCTCCCCTCAGCAGTGTGTTTCAGTCGCTCCGCCTGTTCTGCTCCCCACTCTGTCTCTGGTGAATCCTTTCACCACCTGCACCTCTGGCCTGCACCCCAGTTCTTATTGCATAATAAATAAATCTTTTTAAAAATAAAAAAAAAAATAAAGCTCAGGCTAACTCCAACCGTTATCACAAGAGCAGTTGTCTGGGATCTCAAACCAAGACTGGTCTTTGTGGCACACGGATGGACACACACACACAGACACACACACACAGACACACACACACACGGACACACACACACACGGACGGACACACACGGCAGGCTTTACAATCCAGCTGCAGGAGCTGGGGTCAGGGGGCAGGAGGAGAGCCAGGGGGTGTCCACCTGGGGATCTCACCTTCTCAATCAGCTCCATCAGGGGCTTGGCCTTGAGCTCCTCAATCCTGGTTTCATTCATACACGCACGGTAGTAAACTTGAGCCTTCCTTTCTGCCTCACTCACACTGGCCGTAGAATTTTCTGGAATGAGTAGAGATGGCAGAGCTGCAATGTACCCCCCTTTGCTCCCTGGGTGGCCTTGGGTGAGTCCACAGAGCAGGGCACTCTCAGCCGTAAACAGAGCAAGGCTATGTGGGCAGCAGTGAGATGCTCATTCACTGGGGCCCTTGTCTGCCCTGGCAGAGTTGGGGCAAAGTGGCCAACCACTTCATGTTAGCTGACCCACAAATAAGAGGAGGCCATGTCTCTCCCCTTTGAGGTTCAGATTCTCAGACTATCCCTGGGTTGGCAGAAGGGATGGCCCAGGGGACACACATGGCCTAAACGCCCTTCCAGGGTTAACACCCGCTGTGAGCCAGGGCCTTGTTTCTGTGACATTGGCTCCCTGCTCGCCAGGTGTTCAGAAGGAAAACACAAGAACCAACAGCTTCCCAGACATTGGATGCAGCGTCTTACCATCCCCTGGCTCCGGCCATGACCCTGAAATGCCAGGCCTGCGTTGGAGGAGTGTGCTCTGTGTGCTCCCACCACGAGAGGGCTGGCTCCTCCCTTCCCCACGGCCCCAAGGCCACAGAGATAGGAGACCAGGGGCAGCTGGCTGCTGAGTGTCCTGGCACCTGGGCACACCCCCACAACCCCCAGGAAGGGGAGGAAAGCCTCTCTACCGAGCCGCTGCCCCAGATGGGGTCAAACTTCCCTCTTTCAAGCTCCACATCCTGGGAGTCAAGTCCACTGGCTTTCCCACAAATGTTTATTAAGGTCATGTGGTTCGGGGACTGTTAGACTGGGCGTGGTAGAGGCAGTCAACATGAGACTGCCCGCAGCCTGTGGGTGAGACAGAGCCCAAAGATCATTACGAAGGCGGATGATAACACACTGGAGCAGAGGCCATGAGGAGAAAGCCCAGGAGGCCTTGAGGGAGGATGCAGGACCTGGGGAACCCTCGCCTGAGCTCTGGGATGCAGGAGACGAGGTAGAGCAGGGAACGACAGGAGAGTGGGCCCTGTCAGGAGTGAGTGAGTGAGTGAGTAGTGAATGGAGTGTTCTGGGACCTCTATGGAGAAAGACACCCATCACTTCACCCGAAGGGAGGAGGCTTGGTTTCGTATTAGGAGGTTTTGTGTTGTGCTGATGTCTGTGAAGAAGGTTCCCCGGGGGCAGGGAGAGGAGCCCATGGGGAGGCTGCCAGGGTGGAGCCAGGGCTGCACTTGGAGAAGGTGGCACTTGCAGTAGAAGGGAAGTAACGTGGCAGCCCAGGGCCAGACAACAGGACTCCCAAATGCCTGGGTACTTTCCTCCCAGGAACCTGAATTCCAGAAACTCCTTCAGTCACTTCCCTGCAGGCCCAGAATGGGAAGAGAGCATGTCATTTAATCGACGTGCTTCTTCCTCTGGGAGTTTTTATTGGAACATGCGCTCCCATGTCACTCCCCAGGAGGAAACAATGCCCAGGCTAACAGAATGGCGACGGGGCGGGGGTGCTCCAGGAAGGGGGGCTGCTGGGAATTCTTGTCCCTCCCTCCCCAGGCTGCAGTGAGAACACTTGGGCAGGAGCGTGTGGGCCTCAACTCCTCAGCAGGCAGGCCCACTGTTTGTTTTAGATCAAACCCCAGCCTGTCTTAGGTCTCAGGAGCCCCGCCCTGGGAGGGGAAGTGGGGCGCTGATAAAGGAGGCGCCTCCTGCAGGAGAACAAAAATAATGATGAGACCATTGCCCTGGTCTGGTGCCAACCGCAGGCCAGACCCTGCACTGAGGTCTCCGCATCACACACGGCCCCATGATGGACAGCAGCATAACACATTATCAAGAAGGAAAACAAGGCTCAGGGAGACGAGGGACTAGCCGGGGAGGCAGAGCGAACACGCTGCAGGCTGGGATTCGGGCCCAGGCATCCTGAAGCTCCCTCTGGGTGGCTGCGGCTGTGTGTGTGCATCTTATCAGAAGAGTTTCCATAAGTGGGTGTTAACAGCATCACACCCAATTTATGGGCAAGAGGTTGGGTAACCTGTGCAGGTCACCCAAGAGGCCGGGGCCACGACAGGAGTCTGAGCTCTCTCTGTTTTCCCCTCCTTTGTTGCAGGTTGGCTCAGAAAACCAGCTGCCCCCAGGGAGCCCTGGACACCCTCTCACCCTTGGGTGATCCATCCATCCATATAAACATTCTCTAAACATGAAAGATGGACCTAATGCTGTAGACGCCAAACTAGACAGAAATTGTCTCAGAGGCTGATCTGGTCCCTAAAGCTCCAGTATGCACAGGGAGATGGAAACTAAATCAGACATTAAATACTGGAAAAACAGGGCCTCCCTGATGGTGCAGGGGTTAAAGTCTCGGGGTTATCAAGCTATTGCCAGCCACTGTGGCATGAGTTTGATCCCCAGCCAGGGAGCTACCCACATGGCGCAGCAGACCTCTCCTGTTTCGCCTGCTGCTCCCCTCAGCAGTGTAGCTGCCTGTAGACACAGGCAGTAGATCTGCCTGTTCTGTTCCCTACTCTGTCTCTGGTGAATCCTCTCACCCCCCGCACCTCTGGCCTATACCCCAGTTCTTGTATGCATAAATAAAAACAAATCTTTAAAAAAATAAATATTGGAAAAACAAAAACTCTAAGTGATGACACAGGTGACAAGATTAATCACAAGATTAATCACCAAACCACTGACATGGACACACAGGACGCCACCTGGAGGGACTCTTTGTATTTCTCAGGGACACGGGCTCTGGGGGGAGGGGAGGGAGAGACAGCTACATTTTCTTTACAGAATCAGCCTTGTTCAAGTTGCTACAACAGGCAGGCGTTCATCTTCTGCAGGCAGGCTCTTCCATAAAATACAGTGAAGTGAGTATGATGGGCACACAGAATGCAACTATGCTCAAGCCTGGAGGGCAGCCCTCTGGCAGCCACGGAAGGCACAGAGAGGGGGCGGGGCGGGGCGGGGAGCTGTCTGAGAAGAGCCTGCAGAACTGGGAGCTGATGCAGTGGGTGTTGCAGACGGCAGAGTCTCTGCTAAAAGCACCAGCTAGAAAGCCTAGGATGAGGCGCAGCCTAAGGCATGATGGTTCCGGTTCTATCCTTTCCCTGATGAAGTACAGCCCCCGTGTTGTGTCCCCAAGGCCTAGGAGGGCAGCCCAGTCATCTGTGGCAGCTCAAGTCACCCCTCCAGTGGGCTACAAGGACATACCTTGTTCAAAACATATCAACACAGATCTGCCTGGATTTCCTCTGAGGGGCCCAGAGTGAGTTCACTGTGCAGAGAAGGGGCGTCTTGCCTGAGGTTACCGGGAAGCTGATGGTAATTGCTGTGCTGCTGGTCAGCTGACACATCCCCAACGGCGCTCTGCGTGTTCCTCCTCCTCCCTGCACCTAGAGCAGCGCACCCCAGCATGGACGGTCCAGGCACCCCTGCGTGATCCAATCCCCGGAAGCTCTAGCTCCTGCTGGCTGAACCCCCTGTCTTGGGGAAGTTGAATCCAGCCTGGCCTTTAGCCCAAGAATGCACTGGCCCACACTCCTGCATTTTTTGTCACCTACTCACCTGCCCCTTGCCCCTGCAGGGGTTTTCCAGGTAGCAAGGCCCACAGGAGAGGGACCTTTCCCTGACCTGTCCCCAGGCGTAAGCCTGGGGGAAGGGGTTCCAGGATGGGCTCCTGGGGAAGCTCTTGGTCATTATGACCTGAGGGTGACCCCAGTCACTGTGTCCATCAGGCCGAGCCAGGTCTCGCCCAGCCTGGCCTGGCCAGCTCAATCAAGCAGCCAGTGGGGAAAGGAAGCTGGCGGACCACACTTGTGGGCTGTGCTATAGCCTCCGCCTGGCCAAGCTGACTTAGCAGAATCAGCAGCAAGGCCACAGGTCTGAGGCCCCATAGTCCTGAGCCTGAATCCCAGCTCCACTGTTCCCTTTGTATTTGTGTAAAATAGGGCAGAGACGGCTACTCCAGGCCTTCTCCACTGATTAAAGGAGTAACACAACCACCTCCTTCCCTGACAACTGGGGCCACAGCAGTGCTCTCTTCAGTCACCCAACTATCCTTAGACCATCCCTCCATCCTTCTCAAGGCTCTGAGTTAGCTCCCACTTTATAGGGGAGGCTGAGGCCCTGAGAGGGGAGTGGTTCCCAAGTCACCCACCTGGCATGTGCCTTGGGCAGCTGGGCAGGGCAGCCTGGCTGCTGAGCACTGACTAGAAGTCAGTGCTCTGACATCATGTATAAGTTACTGCTCTCAGAAACCTAGGACATTAGAGGGCACCCTTATCCCCATTTCACAGACAATGAAGCCAAGCCGGAGAGGAGCCGGTCACTGTTAAGGTCACGCAGGATAAGCTAACACACCAGGCTGGCCTGACTTCAGAGGACTGCAGTCTGGTCCCCTGATAGCACCAGCCCATGGCCTGGGGTCAGAGCCTGGACACATGGTTCTGGTTGGTCTGTTCCTACCCACACCTTGACCCACAGGGTCAGGGTTGTTGCAAGAAGGTGGGGCAGGGGGATGGATGCAACCATGGTATGGACCCAGGTTCTCCTGCTAAGGACCAGCCCCAGGACTAGCCCATCAGGATCCATAGGCACCACACACGAGGCCTAGTTGCAGGTCCAGCCGGCCAGAGGGCCCATCCACCTTTCTTCCACTGCCCCCTTACTGCTGACAGCTCCCCAGGCCTCAAGCCGTTTCTGTTCCGATGGCAGTAGAGAGGAAGAACCCTGATCAGGGCAAGGCGTGTAGCAGACACTCAACAAACGTCAGTCTCCTTTCCTTTTAATCAGACCTTCAATGCTCTCTCTGTCCTGCAGCCTCTCCCCACGGTGGGGTAAGAGGGGGGGAGGGGCCATTCTGTCCCTTGTACCTGAGGGAGGGGTGTAGGACAGGGGAAAGGACATGTGGCCAGGAGCCAGCAAGTCCCAGTTCTGCGACTCAGCCTTGGGGACTGCTTCCCAGCCTTGGGGACTGCTTCCTCCTCTAGCAAATGGGGGGAACACTACCTTCTTAGCTCCTATCCTACAGGTTCAAATGGGATGACATCTACAAAAGAGCTCTGTCCGCTATAAAGTGCTATGCAATGGTCAAGGATGCACAGCAGCAATAACCTAAACAGAAGCCGCCACCACAAGCCAGGCCTAGAAAAAACAGTTTAAATGTATGTTTCCATTTCATTTCATAGCCTGGAGGGGGGTGGTTCCCACTGTACAGATGAGAGCAGAAGCCGGCGTTTATGTGATGGACTCAAAATCACACAGTAAGTGGCACAGCAGAATCTGAACCAGATCCTGGAGCCAGGAGCAGAGTTGCTAGCCCATCTTGTCACCCCAGCTGGACTATACCTCACTGCTTGGTCCATGGTTCCTGCCACCCAACCCCCCTACCTCCTGCTGTGTCTCCAGGTGTGAGGGAAGGACACAGCTGAATTCCAGGCTGGTCACCACCAACATAAGTGCCTTCGAGTTCTGGAATGAGAGGCTGGTTCCCTTTCAGAGATGAGGGGTGGGGTGGGGGTGGGGCTATGCTGCTCCAGACAGAGAGCACTGCTTCAGTCCCACCTCAAGCTTGGCCAGGAGGGTATGTGGCTGAGAAGGCATCCAGGGGCCACTGCAGGAACATTAATGGGTTTCACCCAGCAGCAGTCATGGCCCTGGGGCAGGGGAGGGAAAGAAAGGAAACGCATCCTTTCCTGGTTTGCTTATTTCCACTTTCATCTCAAAGAAACAATTGTCAAATTAGACTTTTCCCTATCTTACAGGAAGGGTTCTGTCCCTTTGAGAAGCTCTCTCCCCTTTGAGGTATTTTCTATTTTTACCTGCTTTTGAGTAACTTGAGGGTTTTTCGAAAAACCTTCCTTTAAAGTATTTGTTGAAACAAAGTGCTGTCACTGATGGGTTGACTGACTGGTTTTTCAAGATGCAGCCTGGCTCCGCATGGACGGTCATAGGGGCAGGAGAGAGAGAGTCCAGCCAAGGGCCCGGCTGCTAAGGGGTTTGAGTCAGGACCTCTCTATAGCATGGGGTGTTGGGATTTCACAACAGGACCCCAGTGGGCAAATGTTAATTCAATAAACATTAACTATGTTCGCAAATAACATGGCTACAAATAAGACAGACACAGGATTCTAACCTAAGGATAAGACACCCAACACCAAGGTCAACTAGATGACCTCTGGAGGCCTAAGAGGGAGCAAAGAGAACCCTGGTAGGATGGCTTGTCGCCAAGCCTGCTTGCCACAGGGGCAGGGAAGAGTCCCTCCTGCAGTGACTAAGCCTCAGATAAACTGTTGTTATAGCTTGTCTGGGGGCTACAACCTTAGACTCTCATCTACTGTGCTCAGCCTGGACTCCTTTTGCTCATAACTTCCTAAATCCGTCAATACTAGCCCAACACTCAGTCGGAGCGAGAAGCCACAACCACAGCACCAGATGTTATGGTCCTACCACGTCACACACCACGCCGATGCTTCATACTTGTGAGCTCTGGTTCCCAAACCTCTGCAGTTTGGGAACAGTCCCATTTTACAGACGAAGACAGTGAGGTTGGGAGATCAGCAACTTACTCAGGATCACACGTGGGAAGGGGCAAAAGTCTAGTCCTGTTACACTTATTCCAAAGGCTTCAGTTTCCCATTCTGCTAAGCTCTTCCTTTAACTGGGCCGGCCGAGCAGCTCCAGCTGACCACCTCCTCCCAGCTGACCACCTCCCCTCCGTGGCCTATTCACTGTCCCCCTGCAGATGCTCACCCAGGAGGTGCTTGATGATGGCTTGGTTGTGTTCCCAGAGGTTACTGAAGGTCCCCCAGCGTGAGTGGCCATCAGGCACAGGGTTGGCTTTGATCCAGCCACCACAGGCGTAGGTGAAGAAGTCTTGGCAGGGGTCCACGGCAGGGTCCATGGAACTCAAGATGGAGCTGGTCACTGAGACACAGGCCTCACTCAGACACACCGGGGGGGTTCCTGGCAGAGGTCAAAGACAAGTAGTCAGGGGGGTAGGCAGGGAGGAGACTGTGAGGATACAGAGCAAGTGACCTGGGGCTCCGGGTGCCATGCCCCACCCCAGCCCTGACCAGTGGGACTTCAGTTTAACTCCCTAAAATCCTTTCTGTGGCTTATAAAGTACAGAGAACCAAGGTGCTTCTCTTCACTAGACCTTCCTTGTACAAATATCCATTGACTTTTTATTACTCCCTTATGTTCAACAAATCTGTTCATTCATGCATGTATTCATTTATTCGACAAAATAATTACTTTGCATTTTCCCAGCTCTTTGCTGAACTGAGTGCTTGTACGGGGTGGGAGGTATAAAAGGCATACTCCTTTCCTTCAAAAGTCAATAATTTGGGCCTGCTTGGTCGCCTAGGGACTAAGTCTCAGCACTATTGCTGATACTGCCTGAGTTCGAACCCGGACAGGGATTTAACCCACACGGCGCAACAGACCTCTCCTGCCTCGCCCACTGCTCCCCTCAGCAGTGTATCTCAGTCAGTCTGCCTGTTCTACTCCCCACTGTCTCTGGTGAATCCTCTCACCCCCACACCTCTGGCCTACACCCCAGTTCTTCAATGCATAAACAAACAAAAAAAGTTAGTAATTTAGTTGGGATACACGTGATACAAGAAAAGTCAAAAGTGAATAGGAGAAGTAAAAAAAAAAAAAAAAGTGAACAGGAGAAGTGTCTGTCATTCATATTACAAACATAAACTGAGTGCTAAGTTCTTGCCAGCTGGGTGCTGCAGACAGTGAGGGGCCAGAACTCAGAACTCAGGAAGAGAATCAAGAATAGAAGGAACTATGAAAATCATTCCCAAGTATGGGTACAAGGCAAGGGAGTTACGTCACTGAATTCTCAAAGACAAAAACAACCCTCAAAGATCAATTTCCTTGAGGTCACTTTTATGCATAAGGAGACTAAGGCATTGAAACTCTGCTCAATGCCCAAGGGGAAGTGAACTCCATCCTCTGCTAGGCCTGCTCTGGGCCTGAAAGGAGCCCTCCCCGTAAGAGTACCACACTGCCAGGAGGCAGGGCAGCCCCACCGCTTAGGTGCCAGCCTTAGGTAGCCAAGTCCTAAAGCAGAGAGGTACGCTTCCTCTGAAGTTCTCAGAGGACACAGGGAAGAGGAAGTGGGGTTGTCTGAAGGCATGAGGAGGCAGCATCCTTGTGTCTGGGTTGGGGGTGGGCTCCAGCAAAAGAACCAAGTTGGGGGCAACCTCAGCTATGGCCCCGGCGGAGGTAAAGATGAGCCCGACTGCAGGAGATGGAGCTAGAGAGCCAGGTGGGTGACTAAGAACGCCGGCCAGCAGAGGCGTGTCGGCACACGCAGGCAGCGAGGACTTCTGCTAGCGTTCTGCTGTGCCAGCCCTTCACACACATTTGTGACCTCATTGAGGCCTCACTACAGGCGTCAGAGGCAGGTGGGACACCCCTTCAAAAATAAGGACTCTGAGGCTCTGGATGAACATCACATAGCTGGGCAGGAGGGCCGAGACTGCGCCTGCCCTGGCCCTGCCAGTGCCTCCAAGGCCAGTCTCCCGCTCCCCATCACTCCCTCTTGCCCCATCGGGCAAGTCGGGTTTGGCCATTGCACAGGGAGTAGTGAGGCAGGGCAGGCCTCAGTGGCTCTGGACCAGGGTTCTAATCCCAGTGATGTGGCCCCCAAGAAAGTGATCCCCTTGCTCTAAGCCTCAGTTTCTCCACCTAAACATGAGGAAGAATCGTGAGGCCTATTTCACATGATGATGACACCTCAAGGCAGAGAAGCTGGCTCTGTTCTCTTGAATCTTGGGGTTTGGTGTCCCCGGGATAGTCGGGGAGTAGAGGGGAAAGCACAGGCCAGCAGGGTGGTCTTCACTTCAGTCCTACACACACTGCCAGTCTGGGCGGGGTGTGGGCTGGGTGGGCTGGGCGGCCTGTGGGCTTATGAACCCCTGAAAACAGTGCCTCAGACCAAGGGCTGAGAGGAGCCACCCAACAGCACAGACACAGGGTGACTTTGAGTTAATTACTCATTTTGAGTAGGTAACAATGATTACGTAATGATTACGTAACAATTAGAAGATACGTAATGATTACGTAACAATTAGAAGTTATTGAGCTACCAGGCATGAAAAGAGAGAAAGGAAATGGTGGGGCATGTGGCCCCAACTGAAATATCTTTAGATCTGACCAGAATTTCATGCCCACTCCCCAACTACGAGGGGGGGAATGTGGAGAGAATTTCCACATAGTTTGAAAAACCCTATTCACTATTATGATCCAACTTTGTATTTGGAAGAGGAAAAAAGAATACCTACAAACTGCAGGATGTACGGCTTGACCAAACCCTGGCTGTGGGGCTACCCTGGAGGAGGGCAAGACTCAGGGAGCCAGAGAGAGCTCTGTGTGTGTGTGTGTGTGTGTGTGTGTGTGTGTGTGTGAGAGAGAGAGACAGAGAGACAGAGAGAGACAGAGAGATAGAGATTGACTGGCTTTAAAACAAAATAAGAAACCAGCCCCAGGAATTGAGTTCTCGCTAGGCACCTATGCTGGGCACAGGGTAAGACACCACGTGGGTGGTGCCTATGTAATAATCACTTGATTACTTAACGAATGGTTTGTAGATCCTTTACCAACATCTCCTGGCTTGCAAGAGCCTAATGCACATTTGATCAATAAATTAACAGTTTCCAGGCCCCCCCTTATCTAATGTCAAGATCAACACCTTCAAAGCTCTCCTCAGGCTCCATCTCTGCAGGGAACCTTCAGAGGGCTGTATCCCTCCCTCACCGGGCCCCTCGGTTGCCTGGGGGTCCACCATCTCAGCACAGACCACACTGTGTCACAGTGGGTGTCTACTTCCTGTCTACCGCCCCTACCCGAGTGTGAGTTTGAGAGTAGGGCCAGTATCTTACATTTATACTTTCCTTTACCCAGCAACTCTTAAATACATGTTCACTGAATGAATGAATGAATGAGTGAATGAGTGAATGAAAGAGTTTTGTTCAGCACTCATCACCACCTACAGAAGCAGAAGATCTTTCTTCCCTTTACAACATGCATGATTCGCAAGAAGGCAGGACCCGGATCTAGTTCACAGACACTGGCCTGGATGGTGCCCAGCCTCAGAACTATCTGAGACACTTCAGAATATTTTCTGCGAGAATTTATAATTGTTTTGCTACCACTTTTTGCAAGTTTCTGAAAAGGAGGATGTCACCGGAAGACAGAACAAATATGTATTTAAGTACCCAGACATAACAGAGGGGTGGGTCTTTCAGAGTCATCAGATTTGCTTTGACTGGCCTGGTGTTGGCTCAGATGTGGAAGATGCCAGCACCTGTGGCTTGTGAATGAGGTCACTGCCAATTCCAAGTGGCCACCGTTTGCCCAGGCCACGACAGCCAATAAAGACACATGGATTGGTTCCTGGGTTACCTGGCCCAGCTCCATCTCAAAGAAAGGAGTTCCTCTCACCCAGGTCCAGGAAGGGAAAAATCTTTATGGAACCCTCAGGGGCTGGGCCTCCCTGGTGGTACAGCTAGTTAAGCGCAGTGCAGTGCTGTGAAGCTGTCTGCAGCCTCTGCTGCATGGGTTCGATTCTCAGCCGGCCAGGGAGATATCCACATGGCGCAGTAGAGCTCTCCTGACTCACCATTTCAGTCAATCTGCCTGTTGTTCCCCACTCTGTCTCTGGTGAACCCTCTCACCAACCCCCACCTCTGGCCTGTGCCCCAGTTCATTATGCATAAATAAATCCTAAAAAATTAAATTAAATTAATTCTAAATTTAAAAAAAAAAAAAGAATCCTCAGGGGCCTGGAACAGAGGTAGAGCAGGTTCTTCCCCATGGGCATCTTCTGGTGACACCAGAAGCACTGAGCCTGATCACCAGGAGTCAGCACTTGGGGATTCCCTACTGGTTTCCAGTGGAGAAACGCCTTGGGGAGTCCTTGGGGCAATGTCAGGACCACACTGGCTGCTGGAGTCTTGTCTGTGCTTTATGCACAGAGCCAAGAACATGAAACTGACTGAGGACAAGGCAAGATGGCAGCTGCAGGACAAGGTGAGTGACAGAGAAAGGCTGTTCCCAGTTTAGGTCTCCTTCTCACTCCTTTGTCCATTCAATCCTTCGGTTTATTCACTTTGCAAACGATTTGCACCCCAATGGGATATAAGCATTATGCTAAGCACATGTGGTTAAGGACTTAGAAATCATTAATTAATGAATCAAATATTCATTAAGTACCTGCTGGGCCAGGCACATTTGGTAAAACATTTATAAACCATTAAATAGTCAGTTAAGTCATCAAGCAATTATTTCTTAAGCACCATCTGGGCACCTCACAGAGTAAGCACCGTTATCATTTGTATAATGGAGAATGAACGAAGGAAGGAAGGACTCCTTGATAGAGAAGGGAGATGAGAACCCTGAGAAGTCCTCCCCTCGTGGGGCCCCCAAGCTCCATGCCCTTTCTGGTATGACTTCCCACACAAGCCACTAAGTCCACAGTGGGGAAGGCTCAAAGAAGCTGGGGAGGACACTCCCAGGTCTTGTGAAGGGTCCCCATCTCTCTGGAGGGATGAGCAGGTGACCAGGTGGGAGTCAGACCCTGAGCAAAGCTCCCAAAGGTTGCTCAGCCAGGTGCACCAACCTGCGTCAGAAAGCCAGACATTGGTCACTAGGGAGCGGGAGACCCTGGCTTTGGCTGGCTGCCCCTCATCACTTTTTAACTTGCACCTACCCCTTCCAGGTCCACAAATGCTCATTGACATTAACTCTGGAGGCCCAGGGCTGGATGCCCTTAGCCGCACACAGAGACAGACACATTGCAGCCCTGACAGAGAAATGTGATGGCAGAGGAACTCCAGGGCAGTTGGATCATGGAAGGGCAGCTTTTTTTTTGGGGGGGGAGTGTCTAGCCCACACTAGGGTACACCATGATTACAGCCACATAGTCCTAGGCAAGTCACTTGGCCTTGCTGCCTGTTATCTCAGACAGAAAATGGACCCAAAGTAGCCACATCTGATAGGGGTGCTGTGAGGAGGAAATGAGGTCCCTTCTGGAAAGAAGAGGTGCTGCATCAGGCCCCCAGGAAGCATCCAGCAAGCAGAAGCAGTTACTGTTACCGTGTTGGAACTAAGGACAACAGATATGGCTGTCTCTCGTGTCCACGTCCCAGTAACTACCCAGAGCAGAGGATAAAATCCCAAGGGGCACCACGTGTGTGAGCTGCGCTACCACCTCAGCCACCCCAGACTGGATGTTCCCTCCATTAAGGCAGAGAAGACTCAGGCTCTCGGAGATGAAGTGACTTGTCCAGGGTCACATGGAAGATAAGTCGCTGCATTCACGCTGCTCTGCTCTAAACCTTTACCCCGCCTGCACCCCCCACCTCCCAGATCTTGCCCCAGCTCAGCAACCCAAGTCTCCAGGTGAGCTCCTGGCCTTGAAGGCCAGGCCACTTGAGTGGGGGAAGCCCCCTTGCCAAGAGGACGGAGCTGGGGGCAGGAGCGGGCTCAGCCCCCGAGGCCACGCAGAGGCACCTACTTGTCCGGTACTGTACGCCCAGCGCCGCCAGGCAAGCCACCAGTCCCGCCGCCAGAAGAGCCACCAGCACCACCAGTCGCTTCTCCACCTGGGTCCGCGCCGCCCAGCACCTCTGGCCGCTCCGGGGGCTGCGGAAATTCACCTGCAGGGAAGGAGGCAGGAGGGGCGGGGAGGACATAAGCCCAGGGCTCCCCCTCCCCAGGAGGAAGGGGCTCCTTGGCAGGCCCAGGCCACGGGGAGCCATCGGGCGGCCCTCCTGCCTCAGGGGTGGTCTGGTTCCCACAGACTCAGTCCTAATCCAGGAACGGAACCACCACCCTGTGAGGCAGCTCGGATTTGCTCCTGAACGTCAGAGTCAAGTAGCTCAACCCAGCCGGGCTGGTGTTTTTGTGTCACCCGATATGGGCAGAAGGAAAAAAAAAAAACAGCTTTTCCCTGTTTCTCCAGTAAGGAGCTCAAAAAAGAACAGGATGTTTGGACTCGCAGGCATCCAGTGAGCATCCAGCTGGGCTCCCCCCAGCGCCCCCACACCAACGGGGACAGGCTGGATGAAACTACCACATTCCCCACTTCCTGGGAGCTCGGGCAGCCTGAGCCCATCAAACCCTCACAACCCCACGAGGACTGAGTTATCAGTTCTCTTTCCGCAAATGATGAGACGAGGCCTGGGAGGAGCCCTCGCCTCGCAGCATGCAGCTAAGCGGGTGGGGCCGGCAACCAAACCCAAGTCTGCTGGCTGTGCAGCCCACTGGTGGGTCAGACATTTGAGTCCTGGGAAATGTCAGGGGGGATGCAATGGAGAAACAGCCCCATTCAGGCAGATCCTCAAAGGGAGGAAAAACGCGCTGGTCTAACAGGCCAGCTAAACAGGAAGGGAGGCACAATGGGAGGAAGCGGAGGGTGCGGCAGGGCCCTCCAGGCTGAGGAGGGACCAGTCAACAGCATTCCGAGCCCTCACACCTAAGGCCAGCATGGGGCTCCCCTCTGTCCCAAGAGGTGCTTCCTGCAAAAATGAGGGCCGCAGGACAGGAAGGGTCGCCTGCAGGTGGGGCTCAGTTAAGGTGTCATTTTGGCCATGCACCAACAGCCGAGTAGGGGCTCGGGGCCACACTGGAAATGTGAGATGAGGATGGACTCCCTCGCTCTCAGCTGTTCACAGCCCAGCAGGAAGGCAGATAAGGGAACAGTCTCAAGTAGTCAGGGAAGGCTTCCTGGAGGTGGGGAAGCCTGAGCTGGGTTTTGAAGAATAAGGAAATGGCCAGATGAATGAGAAACGGAAGGGGCGACACAGGCAAGGCCTAGATCCCGAGGGGTGCCGTGAAACAGGCTGAAAACATGGACTTCTTCCTGAGGGTTGGGGTGACATGACTGGATTTACCCTTTGGGAGGGGGAAGCAAGGAAGACTTGGAGGGAGTCCACAGCCTGCCAGAAGGTGAGGCGAGGGGGGAGCTGCAGACCTTGGCCTGTGACCTGTGAGTGTCCCACCAATGGCCAAGGGGAGCCAGGCCAAAGCCCTCAGAAGCCTCACAGGGAAGGGCACCAAGCAGCCTGTGGCCTTGTGGTCACCGTGAGCATTTTAGGGCAGGAAATGACTGGGAATTGCTGCACCAGAGAAAGGGGAACACAGAACTCTTTGTGGAAGAAAAACCGGGTTCTAAAACCAAGAAAAGGAACTGGAGGTTGGTGACATTTCCGCAGAGGTGCAGGAGGCTCAGACGCTGAAGTAGCTGTGTCAGGTAGAGGGAGGGGTGCTGTCTCCCGAAGGCCCACAGGGAACTTTTAAAGAGGAAGATGCTGACCACGCTACTGCCACTGTTAGACCTCTGGGCTGGGAGGGGCTGGTACCGACAGCGTGGGCGATGGTCACAGCACTCCAACGTTTATAAAGGGCTTTCCCAGGGCACCCATTCTCTCATGCAGTTTAACCTGGGGCTGCTATTCAGAGGGACCCCAAAAGATCTGAAGCAGGCACCACCATGCCTGAAGGTGCTGATGTGGGTTCTCACTCTTCCCTGCTGTTCTGGGACCTGCCTCCCTCCTACCCTTCCCCTCCCATTAGGGTCTCTCCTCCCACTGTCGAAGCTCAGCTCTTGGAAAGAGAGGGGTGAAAGGCAGAGACAGGGGACCTTAGTTTTAGAGCAGCCCCTCTGCCTGGTGCTGGCTCAGAGAGCACAGAGGTGAATCAAGAGGAAACAGAAAGTCTCACTTCCGCGGACAGAGCAGCCCCATGATGTGGGGGTCTGGGGAGATGAAAGGGAGAGAAGAAGAAATGAAAGGAACAGAGCGAGGGAAGGCAAAGAGTAAAGATGGTGGTTAACAAACAGCTGGTGCGTCCCCGCACTGGCACCGCAGTTCCGTTGGTGCAGGGTGACACGCCATTCTGTCATCACCACACCTGGAAGAATGGGTGCAGCATTAGCTCCAGAAGACACAGGAAGTGGGGGGAGACACGGTGAGAAAAGCTTTTTCTCTCGAACCTGCAGCCTTGGCCAGTGAGGCGCCGCTGCCCTGGGAGAGCAGAAAGTTCATCTGGGCCTCATTGTTTGATGTTGAGCAAACAGATGGCGCTCACGGCCAAGTTCAATTAGAATTAAGTCAGAATTAAATTAAAACTCATAGTTCAAGTAGAAGTGGCAAATGGAATCTGAAAATAGGGGTTCTGACCTGTGTAAGTGCTGTGGATTTGTTCTGTCCCACTGAGAGTCTCCTGACGGTGTCTGGTCAAGCCTGGTCTCGGAGAGCGGAGGGTCCCGGGGCATCCCCCAGGCTGGGAGGAGTTGCCTGGAGGCACCGTGCTGGGATCAAGAGGCCTCTCCTGGAGAGGCTGTGTGACCCTGGTGCCATGGACAGGGTGGGGGCTGCCAGTCCCCTCTGTCTGAGTCTCATCGTCCTGCCTCCCCCTTCAGAAGGTCACAGAGAGGTTCCAGGAAGAGGTCACAGTGAGGGGGGCGGAATGAGAGGGGGTCCTCACTTTCCTTTTGGAAATGAGGGCAGGTGGATCACGAGAGGCTGTTTGGCAGCAACTGGGGTAGGAGGATTAGCGGCGGGCAAACCGATGGGCCTCGGGAGAGGTAGCTGAGGTGGCCCCCAGCCAGGAGGAGAGCTGACGCTCAGAAGACAGAGCTGAGAATGACGGCAAGTGCTCAGCTCATGGGCCAGCTCGGTATCCTACTGTCGTGTGAGGCCAAGAAAGAAGGAGACAGACAGACAAGGATGCCCTCGAAAGAGAGAGGGGGGGAGAGACAGACAGGGAAAGAGACAGATGGGCCAGAGCAACAGAAAGAGGGGCAGCGAGAGACAGCGGGCAGCCAGTGCAGGAATTCCCAGGGTTTCTGCAGCCAAGGGAACAAAGCCCTGATGAAGGATAAATATTGGGTTACAGAAGTGAGTGCTTGGCTCACCTGGGCTTACAGCAAGAACGAGTTCTGCAGGCGAGGGCCCAGGTGATGATGAGCCAGCAGCAGAAGGGTGGGGAGCCTGGTTTTCAGAGGAAGCAGGGGGGTCGGGAGGGAAGACAGAGACTTTTCCTGAGCCACATCCCCCAGCCACCTGGGCTTCGGGGAGCAGCAAGCAGGCCAAGGTTTTGGCGGGGAGCCCAGTCCTTGCAGTCCACGAGTTGGCCACCCCGTGAGGGATGGCAGGGTGACCAGGCTGCCTGCCTCCAAGTCAGCCTTTCAGAGCAGACAGACCGTGACAGCTCAGCACAGCGTGACACCCTGGTGCAGCGTGGTACCCTGCCTCTGAGAGGGTGTTCGGTTGGGGAAGTTTCTTCCAGTAAAGTTTCCATATGATGTACTTCCGGCCAAGGCCACCAGGGCCTGCCTAGAGCAGAATTATAATGGCCCCTTGTCCTCCCCGACTCTTGCCCACGTACGAGCCACCCTACCCATACCCACGCCCAAATCTGTTCCAGTGACCTAAAGTAATACCTGTTTGAGGGAAGAGGCACCTTTCCTTGCATCTTAACAGGAGCCAGCTTCTATTATTTAGAAGCAGCACACCCTGCTCCTGATGGCACAGGAGGAAGGACACAAACCCGCTAAGTCAAAGGCCGGTCTTGACTTTATTATGATCCAGCCATGTTGTTGGGCAGCCTCTGGGCCTCAGGCTTCTATCTTTAAAATGAGGAAGCTGGATTAGGGCCAGGTCTGAACATCTCAGATTCAAGAATAACTTGTTCACCAAGAGTATAGGACCCTAGCAGGTGGAGGGGATTCAAAGTACCTCTTGATTAGCAAAGGTCTTTCTCAAAGTACTGAAGGGGCTGTCCCCAAAACTGCCCTCGAATGACAGCCCTATACATGACACAGCACAGGGCTCTTAGAAAAATGAGAAAAACCCAGCTTTCTTTTTTATTTAAAAAAAAAAATCATTTTTAGAAGCCCCTGGATAAGTCACAACAGTTTTTGTAAATGGTTGTGGCTGCCTGCTTCCCAGTTTAGGCTGCAGGTCTAACTGGAGCTATTTCCCTTTGGGCCCCTGAAATGGTGTGTGTTGAGGGGTGGGGAGCCAGCCTGAGCAGGGCAGAGGCTTCCAAGGGGGGAGCTATTAAGCTCAGGGCATCGCTGAACTATCACACCTGGGGAGTTTCCAGCATACTCCTGATAACCTCCACATTCATGTTCTCTGCACTCCACAAAATTGCTGTCACTTACATTGTCTCACTTGATGCTCTGGACAGCTTTGAGAGGTGGGTTAATTATAGTAACCCCATTTCGGAAAAAAAAAAAAGCAAAGCCGTTTAAGCAACTTGCTTTCAGGTTGCATACCCACAAAAGGTGAAGCTGGGCCCTGGGTTGCTAGGGCTATTTGGTTTTCAGTTCTTCCCACATCTGCAGTGACTAATTTTGATGGATTGCAATTTACTTGTGCCTAAAATACGAGATAAAGGAAAAGAAATACTCTTTCAGGTAAGGCACAGGTAGAAGTCGTCTCCCGCTAAGTTAATGCCATCAGCATAATCAGCACTGAAGGTGGCAAGTTTGGCTGAAAGGTGGGAGTTTTCATTTACTAGGCTTGGTATCGATAACTTTAGAACCAGTGGGCTTCAAAGTAGCTTAAGTTTATAGCTGCCTGTCAACAGAAGGTGATCTGAGGGGGCGGGGGTGCACGGTCCATCTTAAAAAGGCTAAAAACTTAAGGAGAGGTTGTATTTCTAGCAAGCAGCTCACAGACGTTTCCCGAAAGGTTAGACTATGATGGTATCAGCATTCCTGGACCTTTTGTTCAATTTTAACAGAATGAAAAAATCTCTTTTTACATACTGGCTCCAGGAGGTGTTTCTGTTTTTAATGACAGCATTGTTGGGGAGTTTTCAACAGCACAGAAAAATGTTCACGCATTGGCATTAAGTGAAAAAAGGTCCCAACGTGGTATAGCATGAACTCCGCTCTATTTAAAAATACACAGAAATGTGCTAAACCAGCAGCGTTCACCTCTGAGCGGGGAAATCACCGGTTTTTTAAATGTGACTATTTTTTTAAACAAATAAGCATGTCGAGCTTTTATATTGGAAGAAAGAGCCCACAGATGAAAAACAGAAAACCCTGCTCCCCACACCGAGGTGAATGGGTTCCTGACCTGGGGAACAAGTTCATGTTTGCTTTAGGGAAGTTGTGGCAGTTTAAGGCAAACCAGGCTGGAAACCCTTAGAAATGCCCTAAATCCTTGGGCCAACCCTTTTGGTTCGTCCTGTACGGAGAGTGGACACCGCACCCAGTTTGGCGGTATGGTGTAGGGACACCCGCACCGCACTCCAACCCACGTGACCAGCGAAGTGACCACAGGAATGTCCCTAGCCGCCCGAGACTCAGCTGCGTGGCCTGTAACGTGGTGACAGGGGCACTTACCTCATAGGTCATGAAAACAATAGTCCTAGCAGGCTCGTCAACGCGTGTGACAGCCACTTTCTCAAGCCCCCATTTTACAGATAAGGAAATTGTGGTTTAAAGAGATTAAGCAACACACATCCCAGGTCACAGGGGGTGTCAGAATCAAACCCGGGACCCAGCTTCAGAGGCCGGAGAGCCCCAGGCAGACAAGTGGGTCTGGAAAAGGCGAGACCCACTCGAGAGCTGCTGTGATGAGGACAGCAAGAGCATGCCTGCCACTTTGTTGTGTATTCCCAAATGCCTTTGTGCTGATATGTTTAGAACCTTCTGTGGAAGATGAGGCTGGAAAAGATGGCTGATTAGATTCTGTTTTGATTTGTAAAGGGGAAAAGAGCCTGCCACAGAAATCTATTTTCTGCCTGGATTTAGCCACTTAAGAAGGGCCCACGGATAAGTGGTTCTAGACAGAGTGGGTTTGGTTTATCACGCCCAGATTCCCAGCACTGTGACCCAAGGCAAGTTGCACCCCTTTCGGAGCCTCAGTTTCCGCATCTGTAAGTGGGCAGAGCAGCCCCTTCAGCTCTGGAGGGATGGTCCTCAAGTTTCAGTGAGAAAGGTTCCCTAGTCTGGGGGGGGCCCGAGCACGGGGGTCATGAGTTCGGCTCTCCCTGGGCCTATTTAGCTTGAGGGAGGGAGGGACTCCATCAACACCATTTCCCTTAATTACGATTCCAGTTTGTAAGAGGTGCCTGAGTAGGGCTGGCCTGGCAGCCTGAGTTCCCACTCGTGCCAACTAAGCTCACCCTAAAAGCTTAGGGCGACTAAGCTTGCCCTCTGGAGGAGCTGTGATTTGGGGCCCCTTCACGACCCCCCTGCCTCTCGTGGTCGCCCTGGCAGAATCCTCCTGCGTTGAGGTGCCAGGCTCCTCTCTATGCTGGTTTTTCTCAGGAGCCCGGGGTATCCTTGACACCCTCAATTCTCTCCCACCCACCTGCCTGGTCCAAAATCCAACAGGGCTGAGGTCCTCCTGGTGGGGACACTCCCAGTTCGGCCCAATGGGAGAGCAGAAAGCAGCCAATCCCCCTACTCTGTCCCCCAAGCCCGGAGGTGGGGGCACACCCCAGTCATTCGGGGTGAACCTGGGAGGGGAGGAATTGAGTTTCCTGAGTAGGCTGAAAAGGAGCAGGGAAAGGGGCCCGGGATGGGTTCCCCCTCCAGGAAGTTCAGGAATTGGGGGAAAGAGGAAGAATGGGGTGAAGTCTACCAAGAGGGGGTGCCAGGGACGTCGGACTTTCCATGTTAAAACGCAGGCAGTTTCAGACCATGGCAGCGGCGGGTTCTGCGTCCTGGGCAAACCCCGCAGTACCCAGGGTCCGGCCTCTTCCCCGGCTCAGAAGTTCAAATCCACCCAGAGCTTCACCTCCGTCACCAGAGCTCGGGCCCCCTTAGCAGGTGGTCAGAGGATGCGGGGACAGGCAGCGCTCGTGCGGGGAGGCCGTCGGGGGAGCTCAGCCTTTGGGGGGGTTCTGCCCCGGGGGGCGTCTCCCCGCGAGCCAGAGCGGGCGGCAGGCACAGACCCCCCACCCCGCGGCGGGCAGGCAGAGGGCGGGGGCGCCCCGCGCGCATGCCCAGCGCAGCGCGGCCGGGGGCGCCCGGGGCGGGGTTCTTACCTGCAGGCCATTCGGGTACACGTCGCCCTCGGAGAGCGAGTCCACCAGGTCCTCCTCGTCCAGCGTGGCCCGCTTGTAGGTCGACATCTGCAAGGCCAAGTGCAGCACCGACTCCCTCAGCGCCTCCATGGCCCGCGCGCGAGCGGGGAGAATGGGGAAGCGCCCGCCACCGCGCCCCGCCCCGGCCGGGCCACCGGGACCGGCCCTCGGACCGGCCCGCGGCGGGGGAGGGGGTCCCGCCCCCTCCCCGCCCCCTCGCGCTTATGCAACGCCGCGCCTCACCCCCCGCGCCCCCCGCGCCCCCCGGGCCCCCGCGCCCCCGGCGCGGCGGCCACGCGCCCCGCATGCTGCGCCCGCGCCGCCCGGTCCCCGCCGCCGCCGAGCGCCCGGCTGGCCGGGGCGGGCCGGGCCGCGGGGCCGCGGGGCCGGGGCGGGCTTGGCGCCACCTCCGCGGGCGGGGCCTCATCGGTGCGCGGCTCGGGGCTCCCTCCCCGGCACCGCTCGGAGGCCCCCTGGCCGGAGAGCCCCCAGGGGGATGGAGGTGGCGCCCCTTCCCGGAGGTCGGGGAGGGGACCCGGGCCAGCCCCTAGCAGGCAGGCGGGATCTCGCAGCACCCCTTCCTGCTGAGAAACCTCAGTCCCGGTTCAACTTTAAGGGGGCCCCCAAGGGCACAGACCAACATTCCATACTAGAAGGGTGCCCCTCATTTGGCTCACGACAGCCAAGAGGGCGGCTCCTCCCACCACCTGCCCTGAGGTGAGCCAAGGGGGGGATTCCTCCCTCATCAGTTAGACAGATGAGAGGGGGAAAGAGGAAGAGCAAAAAAGCGTCTCCCGTCTCATTTCCCCTTCCTCTAGCCCAGGGTCTTTAGCCAGAAGCACATGAATAATTTCAGAGAATTCCATAGAACACGCCCCCCCGGCCCAGCCCTAAAATGAAAAATGATGCGCTGCAATGCATCTGGGTGGCTGGAGGGGAACCTCATGCTTGCACCCAGGCTGGAAGGTGTGACTCCCTCTCCACCCCTCTCCCCCCAGTATTTAGAACCATGGCTTTGAGGCTAAACACCAAAAAGGTGCCTTTTCAACCCTTCCCTCCAGACCTTCCAACCAGCCCTCAGGAGCCAAGAGCCTCAAGCAGGTGCTCTGACCTAGCCCCTGTGAGCCCGGGCAGGAAAGTAGGCTCCCGGGGGCTTAGGTAAGGACCCTCTCACCCAAGACTCCAGAAAACCCAACCTCTCAGTTTCCAAAGGACCCTCCGCGTCTAGTGAGACAGGAACCCCTGCACGTGTGTAACCCCTGCACGCGCGTATTCCTTCAGAAGCGCGCTCTGGGCATTCCATGCTGCTTCTCAACAGCCGTATGCGAGGCGACAGGCTCCAAGGGGTGAGGTGCCCCCCCGGGTCACAGCCACAGGGGCGGTTTCTGACGGGTCTCCGGGCTCCCACTCTTGCCTTCCTACAAGGCCTCTCAGGTGCCGCAACGAGTCTTTACAAAGGAAATGCTGATCCTGCCACTCTTGCTTAAGACGCCCCCACCGTCCGTGGATGGGCAGTGCCCTAATCAGTCCCCATGGCCCCTGGCCACCCTGCCCTGCACCTTGTGCTGCTCCCACCTCTCAGTCACTCAGGCCCCCCATCTTTGGGCCTCACTCAGCTCCTCCATGTTCCCCTTTCCCCAAGACCTTTATAGCTGCTGTTCCCTCTCTCTGGGACATTCTTTCATCTCCCTTCCCCTGCTCCCGATCTCACCTTAAATCTCACCACCCTAAGTTGCCCATCAGTTTCTCTACTACAGCAACACCCCATTTTCCCCTTTGTTTGTTTTTATATCTATCTCCTCCCTCCTCAGAATTACAGTTTACCAGGCCTGGGACTTCTGCCTCACACAGAGTTGCCCCATTACTTGGCATAGTGTAGGTGCTGAACAGACAGTTAAGAGGAACGGCGGAGTAAGCAGAGGAGGAAGAGCTTACACTGGGCTAGTGCCTTTAATCCTTGGGCATCTACCTTTGCAAAGCTTAAGGACAAAGGGCCTGGTCCAAAGGAGGGGAGGGGGTGAGGCAGGAGAGGAGTAGAGGGAGGAGAATCCCAGGCATCTTCAGTTGAGGTAACAGCCAGGCTTTTGTTGAAACCAGGACTGGTTACCGTGAGCAACAGGTGTCAACCACGGCAGGAAAAGACCCTTGAAAAACGACAATTGCCCAAACATCTCCCCACTCTGGCCCACAGCTTATTTCCTGGGGAGCAGAGGTGTGAGGCATTCTTCAGTTCTTTCACACCCAGCATCTCACTCAAGCCTCTGGCCCTTCCCTGAGGCAGGTGTTATTGGCCCCTTTCATAGAGGCTGAAACTGAGGCTTGGGGAAGAAACAAGCTCAGGTGCAGTGAAGCCACGGCCCCTCCTCCAGTTTCATTTCAGAGATCACCCCACCCACCTGCTCCAAGCTCTCCGGACCATCTTCCTCAGGCTCCAGGCAGGTCCCCTGCCCCGTGTTTCCACACAGCCCCCTCCCCAAGCTTTTCTGTTGAAGCAAACAGCATTCTCAATGGGAGACCCTTGAAGGCAGGTGCTGGGTGTCCAGCAGGCTGGAAGCCCATGCCAGGGCTGAAGCCAGGCTGCCCACCACCCCTCCCACTGCAACCTGTCTGTGGAAGGACGAGGGCCGCTCACATGCTCCCAAGCAGAAGCTGGCCACGATGTACAGCTGTTTATTTTTTACCACACAAAAGATGAGGGGCCCTTCCTGAAAGGCCTGCCTGGGGCCCTGTAGTGAAACTGAACCCACGGAGGGGAGAAGACTTAGTGGCTCTTGGGGGGAGCACAGCAGACTCAGGGGTGAATGACATTTCAACCACCAGGGTGCTGGCATCTTCCAAGGTGGGCGGGGCCTTCCATTCACTGTCTGGTCTGTCCCCTCACCCATCTAGAGCCCCAGCATGGACAGGTATCACTTGCATTTTATAGAAGGCGGGGGTGGGGGAGGGCAACACCTGCTGTGGACAGGGTGACAAAAGCATCTCTCCTGAGGAGAGGTAAGACTAGGGAGCAGGTAGGACTTGGCCCCTACTCCAAAGTCACCTGGGAGCCAGGATGAGGATCCTTGTCTGCCCTACCCCATGATGCTGCCTCATAGCTAAGTGGCAGAGCTGGGTCTAGAACCCAGGTCTGAACCCTCTCCCGTGCTCTGCGGAAGGCGGGGCTGCGGCTTCAGTTTCGGGTGGGGAGCTCTCAGAATCCCAGGATGCTGAGCCGGCAGGGCGGCCAGCACTTGTCTCCCTAATTGCCTCATTTGTGGTTGTGGGTGCCACGCCTGGCCCGCAAGCTTCAGGGAAAGGGGAAGAACAACCGCCGCTTTGTAGGGAGTCCTGGATTGGCAAATCTGGGCCCGGTGCTCATGAGAAGGGCTGGCGGAGACCAGGCATGGAGGAGTGCGAACCACCCCCCCACCCCCAGTGAGAGCCAGGTGAGGGCATGATGGTGCCCAGCTCAGGAAACCCTGCTCCGTGTAAAATCAAAGGCTCAGGGTGAACAGTGAGAAACGATAAACATTCATGCATTTCTGAGGACAGAGCCTCTGGCCCCACAGCACCCGGGCATGATCCCATGTGCCCTGCCTCTCCCGGTTGGGTTGCCCAAGGCAGGGGATCTTCAAGGAATCCTGGAGCATGTTGGAGGCAGGAAAGAGCAGGCTGCCAGTGAAATTGGGAGGCCTGGGACTCCTTGGCCACACCCTCCCAGTTGTTTTTACATTCTGTTTCTAAGCCTCAGCTCCTTAGAAAGCTTTGTGGCCAAAGGCCCAGTCAGTTCCTGCCTCTGGTGCCAGTAATTAGCCAGGATCCGTGAAATCCTCATGTCATCTAATACACACGTACACTGCATGTTAGCTAAATACTTAGTCTTAACAGGCATAATAACACAGTTGGTAAAAGCTCTGAATGCAACCACAGTTCAGATCTCTCCTGCCATCTCCCTGCTGTGTGACCTTGGGTAAGTGACTCAGCCTCTCTGGACCTCAGTTGTCTCATCTATGAAATGGGGATGACAGTAACTGTACCTCCTTCACTAGACTGTCATGTTACTGTCATGAGTTAACAGTGTTTAGAACAGCAGGTGCCCACTAAGTGTTAGTGTTATTATGTGTAGTCACCATTACTTATAAATCACAAAGCTCAAAGCCTTCAATTGATCCTCACTGCCTATAGGACAAAATCCAAACTCCTAATCATGGCATTCAAGGACTTCCCCATCCGGCCCAAACCTATCTCTCCAGACTGGCCCTCTGAATAACCCTGAGGGGTGTAGCCATCACCTTGGCCTCTGACCAATCCTTGCAGGTGTTCTCCACTCAATAGGAATTCAGAGTCCTTGATATTCATCAGGCCCTGTGCTGAAGCCGAGGAGGCATCCCTGAGTAGGACTTGGTCCCTACCCTCAAACGCCCTGCAACTGATATCCCCAACCCTGACTGTTTTTCCTCCAACCCAACTTCTCTCCATCACTGGTCTGCCTCCTCCTCCATGCAGTCCTCACTACTTCCCCAAGCACAGGAAATCATGGCCTTCTCTGGTGTGCTCCCCACATAGCACTTGCATTACATGTAGGCCTTTGTCTCGACATCTTTATTTCTGGAATGGAGAGGACCTAGGGCATGGGCAACACTCATCTTACTACCCCTCTGACCCCAGCACCCAGCACAGAACCTGTTACTGAGATAACTGGTTAAATTCTATCCCAGATTTTCACCAGGGCACAGGCATCTATGACTTCAACAAAGAAAAAAATAGTAGAATTTAGCTGCTAATGACCCTCTAGTAAAACCAGGCAAGGGGCAAAGAGGAAAAATGTCGCCATCACTCCTGAAGACAACATGTGAAATCTGTTACTATAATTATGTCATCTGTTACATTGCTCAATGTCTTTTACATGGACAATTTCCATGTGACTAATTCAAGTTTATAAGAAAGTTCCTGAAGGAGTGAGTGAACTGCTTCTTTGCGTTTTGATAACAGGAATCACAGGTATTGGCCTGCATTCCTTTTTTTTCCTTGGCTGTCAGGAGGCTCGCAGTCACATTAGAAACTCACAT